AGATTGCTGATACGCCATTAAATTCCATTCAGTACTCAAAATGTACTCTTTAAGTTTTTCCAGTTCTCCTATATTGAAAAAATAAGGAGTACGTACTCCTGATGTTGAAAAATTATCTGTAGCCCTGGATACTAATATCGCTACAACGCAAGTGAAGTACAGAAATGTGAAGTAGGGAGAGTACATACACGTTGCTATATGATGTTTATACCAAGTTGAATGTTGATCGATTTTAGAATTAGAATAAATAGGATTACCAAGGACTTGGACAAGGTGTTCGGAATACAGTACAGATGAGAGGGATCATAATCAAGCTATGACCGCTTGTTCTTTTCATCATAGCACCTCTGAAGATCTTCAGCAATCCATGCTTGTCATAAAAGACGACTGACGGGATCGGGTGGTCAGACTCGCTGACTTGGTTGACACATGTCATGTAGATCGATGTCAATCACAGTGTGGACGAGACTCGATTATTTACAGAACGCCGTCGAATAGCTGGCATATTGCTGAGTGCAGCGTTATACAACAAACACAAACACAATCACCATACCGTCGTCTTAATGAGCATTAACAGGGGGTTGGGGTGGGGTGTGGGGTGTTGACAACTCAAAATCGTACGCAGTTGGTATCAACTCGGGATTTCTGAAGCCAGTTTAATTATTGTCCATAACAGACTTCATCAGTGTGTCTGCTTACAGTAAACATAAAGAAAGCTGAAAACAGTTTAACCCCGAAATGTTGTCTATTTCAGACATTTCTTTGAAGGATGGCACAAGCTTCCGTTGATGCAGCTCTTTCAAAGGTGAAATCTGGAAAGAAAGAAACAAAATTGAAGATATGTCTGCTGGGACCAACTGAGAGCGGAAAATCAGAGTTTGTGAAATGTCTGATCAAAGGCAACCCTAACAAGCTTATTTGTGTTAGTGATTGCTTCTTTGTGCATGGACTTCGCCTGGACTATGCCCCCGCTGTGATCTTTGACGTCACAGAATGCAGAGGGAACATAAGATCACAACTCCAGCAGGCAAGTAAACACAAACCCGATGTCTACTTTCTGTTGTTTGACGTGAATTCCAAGACTAGCCTCTACAAAATGAAAAACTCCTGGCTCAATGATCTATACGACCGGGACACTGTTACTATTACCATCGGCAACAAGTCCGACCTGCCCTCAAATACTCAACATGCCAGGTTCCCGGGGGTATTGGACAAAGGGTGGTTGTCAGGACATATGGAGATTTCATCGATAACCGGACAAAACATTGATCGCTTGGTGCAAAGAACGGTAGAGATCTTTACAGGTTTGGATGTTCAAGGCCAAATACCTCAGGTAACTCGTGCCATGACAGCATGTTCTCTGTCCAGTCAACCGCCTACAAGGCCTTGTAACGAGTACAAGATGGACACCAGTCCTAAAGGTGTATGTCTTATCCTCAGTATGAGGTCATTTCCAGATGACAGCAAATACAGATATGGCGCTGAACAGGATGAAGTCAGCTTGGAAGAACTGTTTAGCCAGTTTGGTTTCGAAGTAGAGATCGAAACAGATTTGGGGTGTATTAAGCTTCTAACAACGTTGAAGAGCATGGCTTCACTGGATCACTCACAGTATAGCTGTTTTGTTTGCGCCGTGATGTCTCACGGGTCGTCCCAAGCCATCAAAGCAGCAGATGGTCTAGATGTAACAGTAGACCAGATTACGAAGCAGTTCACGGCTGAGCAGTGTCCTTCACTTCGGGGCAAACCCAAGGTGTTCTTGTTCCAGTCTTGTCGAGGTCTAGGTGGACAACAGTTTCACCTTCACGAGACAGACTCTTGTTATGGCGACATGGAGGACGATGCCACAGTCCCTGTCCCCAACGAGGCCGATTTCCTGATTGCAAGGTCAACCGTTGACGGCTATGCCTCTTATCGTGACACAAAGAAGGGATCTTACTTCATTTCCAACCTTGTGGAGATACTGAGAGCCAACCCTGAACACAGCCTTGTGGCGTGTCTAACCTTGCTGAATGAGCGTGTTGCTGACCTACAGTTTTCGGGCGACACATGTCAGATGCCATGTTTCCACACCACGCTCAGGAAGGATCTCGTCCTGGGACGGTAACTCTCAACATACACTGTGGAGATGCCGGTAAGAGTTGTGACAGGGGTTCAATCTGAATATTGTCAGATTAGGTTCAAGCAAGCAAATCTTCCACCATAGACATCATGGTCATAGGCGTCGCTGCGTCAGCCTCTGTAAATACCTTCGCATAAGCCACTCGACCAAAGACGTTGACACTTGACATAATAGTTAGTCAATCAAGACCCTTCCCTTGTTCGGGAGGATACAGTCCGATATTCGATAAGGGCGACTCGGCAGATTGGCTTGAATTACAAGGGTCGACGTAGATTCGAGTTTCTCAACAGTCATCTTCGGTGATTTTTAATGATGTTGTAAAACTAGACGTTCCTCATATTTACGGGATCCCGTGCATCAGTTGTACTTCGACGGAACATGGACGTTTGTTCAAAATAATCCAATGTGATACATGTAAATTCTGACAATACAAAATGAAATAAACTGAGGTGAATTCCAGTTACATTGTAAGACTATGATGGACTGTTGTGAAGTCAGTAAAGGTTGTGTTTTCACTTTCTAACTAGTATTGGGAAGAAATGCATGGTTATTTTTAGGGGCCAAATAGTTGTTGCATTCACAATATCAGCTCAGACGGGTACCCAATCGCAGGCCGGTTAGCAATGACAAATTGCAAACTCGAGGAGACAAAATTTCAAATTCAAATGTTTATTTAATGAATAGCCTTATATACATGAAGTGCGGTACAGGGTCATGTTAGCATAGATTCCAGTTTCATTTCTTGAAGGCATGTTTGAAATATAAAACAACAGATTTTATGTGTTTAGTTCTTGTGATTGTCATAAGGCGAATGTATTGTGGTACTGAAGGTCGAAGTAAGTACTTGTTTTGTATGTATTTCTTTCGTTCTTCAAGGATGGACACACAAAGGTGAAAAGGTACAAATAACAATGCATACATATTCTTTCAGATTCTGCAATTTGATCCCATAAAGCCATTACATCAGGAGTGTTAATACCTGGACCAAGATAATATGTACATGCGAGATATTGTACAATCTCTGCCACCTCTAATCTTTAATAGTGTCTCATGCAGTTGCAATAAATACAATGACATTCCTAACACGGAAGGTTTTCGTGAATATTAATTCAGATATAAACATGCAGTTGTCGATATTTGTCTTTTCAGAGCAGACTATAATTGCAACCGTGAAGATCCGGGTTAGAAGTGATCTTCAGGACCCCATGCTTGTCATAAGAGGCGACAAACGGAATTGGGTGTCCGGCTCGTATCTCAACTGCGTAGACCGATGTTCATGCTGTTGCTCACTGGATTGTCTGGTCCAGACTCGATTATTTACAGACCGCCGCTGGAATATTGCTGAGTGCGACGTAAAACTAAACTCACTCACTCAGTGCAATAGCTGCACATAACATAGCAGAAAAAAACCCCGACCCCTCAAAGATAGAGTAACATTAAAGCCCTGGGATGCAGAGTTATATCATTCATGTAATAAACAAATTTGAGGAAATTAGATTTGTGAGTTCTGGTGGTTAATCTGAATGACAGATTCGCTACCGAGGATGAACCAGAATTTACCCTTATAAATCATTTAACCTTGACAGGCGTTAGGATATATGTAGATGGACACTTAAAGATTTATATTTTCATTATATTTGATTTTCATTGAAATCTTTAATGGTTATCTATTATGATAAAAAGCATCAGTTAAAAATACATTATATAACATGGCTTGTGAAAATGCATGACTCTTTAATTGTCTTAAGATATTAATATTATAACTATCATTAAATTTGTCTTTCATACATTGTACAATGTATATGTACCTTCAATGTATAATTTGTGAAATAAAATTTAACATATAAGATATTTACATTATTTAAGATTTGAGATTATCATGGTCAAAACATTGTATAATGAACACGAAAACAATTCTTAAGCTCCAACAAACCTCAACCATATGTTAATCATCAAATTTTAATTTTCTTTTAAGTCTGGTTAAGACTCTTGACAACAGTTGAATATTCATACCAAGATATCTCCATGAACTTTGGAAAGGAATGGTATATAAGCAGTGTGCGAAATAGCTACTGGCCCGCTAGCCCGTGGCTAAAAAAATTCAGTCGGGCCAGGCAATCTCCACAGTCACTGGCCCGACAGGCTAGTGAATTTTCATGGGGTCAGTCCGACACTTTTAAATCATGCACGAATATACAAAATTTCATCATATTCACAGCTTAATTACAAAAACCCGTGACTACATTCAAATTTCGGGCAAGTGAATTATTCTCTGGGCTAGTAACTTTCAGGCATAGCTAGCCCGACTGGCCGGCAAAATTTGGAAACTATTTCGCACACTGTATATAAGTTATAACTACAGTCAATATGTACGTATACGGAATAGAAAATATTACAATAATACTCAAAAAGATAGATGACAACTTCGTATTTATCATATTATCATATAATGATACGATGTTCGGTACAGGTATTATACCGTTGGCAAGCAATAGTGTGTGTACTAAACTGTGGTGAAGTGCAGTAACAGATCAATAACTACTCAATTGCAATAAATAGTCAAACAGATCAATAAATACTCAATCTTTTCTAATCCGTTTCGTCCGCATCAACCCAGTGCTGTCAGAATATATGTCATTTAGTGGGGTCGTCGTACGTTAGCGACACATGTCCTTGGTATCCTCCTCCACGTAGTCGGTGGTGCTCGATAAAAAATGTAATACGTTACCACCGACACGTGTGTATGTCATCACGTGACTACCGTATTTCTGCCAATAAGCGCCGGGTCTAAAGCAGCTCACTAAGAATTACGGTATTTCGACCCAGTAAGCGCAAAAGCACTGGGCCTCTAATACGCGTCCGATCTAGAACTCGCCAGAGCGCTTATTAGAGAAAATACGGTATATCTGAACTCGGGTGTCATTTACAATCCAGCAGCATGTCGCAGATGCTCACAAAGCTCCCCTTCCATATCCATGTAATCTTTCACACGAAGCATGCAGTCCTCCTCCACCATATTGAGGACACGCTCAGGCAGGTCCTCCATGAGGACGCCCCCCACAAGGAGGACAATCACACGGTTAAGAATGACATCCGACATGGCGTACAAAGCCGAGGTTACTGTAAAGTGTGTCCATGAATCTTCTAGGAAGTCATTTGATATGACCAGGATTGTCTTTCCAGCTACCATTGACTCCTTCAATGATCCCTTCAGCAATGTCTTGACCCGGAAGTACTTCTCTGTCTTTGAGAAAGAGGCGCACAGGTCGAATACAAAGCTCCAGTCCAGGTCTTAGTATCCGGTAAACGAAAGGGACATCACTGCCACAGTATCCAACATAGAAGGTGAATTCAAATTGTTTAGGGGCTAGATATTCTACACCGAACCCAAATCTTCTGATGACAATGTTCCGATACCTTGTAGGATTCTTCGAAATGACATAGGTTATGAAGACAGAAGTTAACACCACAATCATACACGTTACGGTGAGGCTGAGTAGTAACTTGCCTGTACAGTGGCGAAGGATATATAACTGATTCATGACCACTTTAGCTGTCCCCGTCATCGTGCCATTGTCCTGAATGCAGGGAAAATCTCTGTCTGAATCGAAAATAACGGGCGTATCCATCAACCACAGAATGAAGTCCAGGTTTTCACATCCACACGAAAAAATATTTCCTCCAATCTTAATTTTGAGACTGGTTCTTTCAAAGGCCATATCAAGCTGGGAACGTGTTTCTTTGTTCAGTTGTCCTATTAAATTGAAAGATATGTCCAGAAAAATCAGGCTTTTGTAAGTATTTTCTCCAATGGATACGGTGGCAATAGAATTATGCGATAAGTTGACGTGAACAATTTTACCTGCATTGGGCAAAACTGGGAAATATCTGAGATTATTTGAAGAAAGGTCCAAGTACTCTACAGCCCGTAGGTTATGCAAAATGTATAAAGAACTGTTTCCGGGGCTTCTAGCAAATTGTAAGTTGCAGTTACTTAAAGCCAGCTCCTGGACGTTTGAAAAGGAATGGAAAAGAGATTCAGTGACATTGACGAATTGGCTTCCGGACAAATAGACTTTTTTCACATTTTCCAGTCCCGTAATACGATCCAAGCCTTTGAAACTGTTATCACCAATACGGAAGGTCTCCAGATTGTCCGTGTTTAAAAAATTGACAACAGAAGGAGACACATGGGCACGTAATGTCAAGGTTGCGTCGAAATAACTGAGATTTATTGAGAATCTGGTAAGGCATATTCAAGGTACTGATAGCTAAAATCTAAATATCTTAGTCTTTGAAATAGCCACAACATAAACAAAAGACCAGCATCGCCGACTATACGGTTCTTGGACATGTCTAAAACTTCGATGCAAAGTCGAAAAGGTTGTTTATTAACAGAATCAACCTCAACCAAGATAATCTCGTTTTCCCTCAATGATAATTCCGCTACACATATTTGAGTAAGGTATTTTGTGCTTTTAGCAGTAAGTATGTGGTCATCAATGTCTTGCTTGTGTTGGCGTGAGTGTGGAGCTGTCCCATTGAACCAAATTCGACTCATGTTTCTGCCGACAAGGGGATGGAGAAGATGTAGACTGTTTTGAAGGCCTATGCGATTGTGTGACATTTCCAAATGTTTCAGGAACAACAGAGGCTCGAGGACACCATTCTCACAATCGTCTAAACGATTGCAGTTATTCAGAATCAAAACCTCCAGTTTGACCCCCTTCAAACTTAGAAACGTTTGATTTGTAAGCTTCTGTATCGAACAATCTCCTTTATAAAGAAAACTTGAATCCATTTGCAATACTCTCAGATTTGCTAGTGCGGAGAATCCAGAACCAAACACCGGATCTGGAACGGAGTCAACATATAAACTGTGCAGTTTGGTTAAAGGAGGAAATGCCCAGTCTGGATATGACGTCATCTCATTTGCTTCAACGTTTAAGGTATGCAAATTCCCGAGGCCGTTGAAAATACCTTTTGGAAATGCATCTTTCAGCTTGTTCTTAGCAAAAAGCAGACTGTTCAGGCTACACAAGCCTTTGAACGCGCCGGATTCCAGATTCGTTAGCAAGTTTGCGTTTAGATTAACATACGTAAGGTTTTGGAAATTAAGAAATGTTCCGTTATTCAGTCTTTTCAGTTTATTTTGAACAGACCGTTAGACAGTAAATACATGTCTCAGGTTCATTGAATTATTCATTGCAACTAGAAAGTTAGGTAGTGTCTTTGGATTGCCTGGTCTGGTTAAATCCGTTTGGGGCTGGTAACATTTTGAAGTTACCAGCCCTGATGTCTGGCTGGGGTTTGGGCTTATTTCATACACTGCCTGAAGAAATGCAATATGCGTGTGGCCCACAATACATTCGAACACTACATGCTGCTGTTGAGGGAACATTGTCCACAAAACGATAGATGCCCTCGTACGTTTTCCATTCCACGTTACTGTCAACACTTCCTGGTCCACCATGTCTTGGTTAATTATACGACAATGTGATCTTGATCAATAGGAAACCTTACCACCAGCGAAACTTCCTGGTTGAAGGCATTGATCTTTATTGCCAGGCAAGTATAGGCACGTCTCTGTGTGTGTGGTGGTGGTGGTGTGTGTGTGTATGTATGTGTGTGTGCGCGCGCGTGCTTGTGTGATGTGCATATATGTGGCCTGTTTGCCTGTTTCTACAACAATTTCTGAGTGTCAATGTTGAGAAGGACTGACAAATATTGATAATCATCAATTGTAACATCCAAACATGAACGGTTATCACCACATTGTCTCCTACCTTAAATATCATACCTAACTCCTGCCCATTAAAGAGAGGTCATCTTGACAGTTCTAAGTACGACCATACAGTACAACATATCCACAAACTAGAGCCTTTGTTTATGAGTCTACAACGTTATATAGTCTCCCTGTTAATACTAAACACGTGTTGCTCAACTTGCTGTCTGTTATTTGGTGACACTGTGGCCTGATCAACTCACGTTTTCAGAAGATACACATTTCCAGATACAATGCAAATGGCTAATTACATTACACTAACGAAGTTGAATTAGACTATGTGCTATTTAAATAATAATCCGCATGTGTCTGAGTAGAACATATGTTACCATGAAAATATCAACTTTAATTTTGTCAGAGCCTTGGGACGTCAAATAGAAGTACTCAACCTACCTTAGAAAAGAGCATACGCAGTGTGTCCAAAACGAACATGGAGGTTGTTTGTAAATTGTCACAGAAGGTCTCTACAGTCTGACGTACTTCCTCAAACAGCGCTCTACTCTTCTGCATTCTTGTATTTCAGTGAAGTACGGGGTTCAACCCGTTTTTCAGTAGTTCGTTCTGCGCTTGACTCACCATGCGTAAACCAGTCTAACTTTGCATGAAGCGGGATGTCGTATGTTTGTTACATGGTTCTCTCCTTCTTCTGAACAGCAACTCAACGTTCACCAAAAGGTGTAAGCTCCCTAGGGATTTACAGGAAAAATACTACGCTGTGTCCTCCTTCCCATGTGGGTAATAACATCCGGGTATACCCGGCTGAAAACCAATAACAAAGGCAACAAGCTGTCCCGGCAAATTTCCGGAGATCGGTGCTCAGTAGCATCTTTGCTGGCACAGACTAGTTCATATTTGTTACAATTGTTCTACCGAAATTAGCATGCAAAAAAATGTCTGAACAATTTATTCTTCGAGATTGACAGAGATAATTTTACACAGAATTATTTATTTTTGAGTTTTGAACAGTTTATTAAATACATAACGTCTCGACAGTTTAATGTTGGATTAAAATCCGAAGTAATACAGGTCCCGGGCGTTTACCAGTGTAGTGCTGACAAAGCTAGGAACATATCGGGGTAAACCGGGATTGAAACCCCAGGTTCCTGGTGTGTACAAGGGACACAACTCTGCACAACCCGTTTCCATAGACGACTGGTATACCCTTGACCATTTTTTTCGTTGATAAAGTAAAGTTTCTTTGTGGTTATTCTGCTTTCTGATTGCCTAACAGGTAACCTGTTTTATATGTAAATTTTTGTAAGAATCTCACGGATTCATATAGTTTGTACATTACTTTTTCGACGAACACCCCGATAAACCGAAAACATTGCACAGTCAGTCCTTAAGTGTAATAATTCCAAACGTCTTTAAATTTATCATATGGAAAAAATAATTGCATTTGTCACCTGTACCACTGCGATTACACGATGTACAGAACCGTTTATGGAAAAGTGTATTGTTCCTTCGTTCTTTCTAAATTGGGGTCCCTGCCTGGCGCTCGGCATTAATGGGTACAACAAGGACTGGTCGACTCGGAGTCAGTATAATGTGTCTGAGTGGGGTATTCATGCTTCACTGCGGCATGGTATCTCAGTGGGCTAGCACTATAAAACCAGCTTAAGTCTAGGCTAGTACAAGTAACCGCACATACACATACACACGCATGCACTTCGTCATATGAGTGAAATATTCTCAAGCACGACGTAAAACCCAATTCACCTCACCATCTTTCTAAATTGGAGCCAACCATGTACTGTTTTCAGATGAATTACTTCTGGGCTACATTTTCATAAATCGACAAAACTAGACCGTTAGAAACACAAATGAAAATAGTTAACTAACAATTTGTGGTTTCACTGAAACACACAAGCATTCATATAGACTATTTGGTCTCACTGAATCACTGAAGCACATACACTTATATAGACTATCTGGTTTCATTGAATCACACAAGCACATGGTTTAATATACATATATATCCTCTGATTTCATTGAACCATGTAAGCACATACACTTATATAGACTATCTGGTGTCACTGAACGACACAAGCACATGGTTTAATATACATATATATCCTCTGATTTCATTGAACCATGTAAGCACATACGTCTATTCATACTCTGAATGTGACAGAGTGATTATGTTTTTATGCTAGTGACCATGCTGGTCTATACTGGTCGTGGGTTACATTGAAGTGGTGAAAGTCTGTAACTGAAGATCCGGGTTAGAAATGATCTTCAGGAACCCATGCTTGCCGTAAGAGACGACTAACCGGATCGGGTGGCCAGGCTCGCTAACATGGTTGACACATGTTACCGTATCCCAGTTGCGTAGATCGATGCTCATACTGTTGGTCACCGGTTTGTCTGGTCCAGATTCGATTATTTTCAGACCGCTGAAAGAATAGCAGGAATATTTGCTGAGTGCGGCGTAAAACTAGACTCACTCACTCTAACTGAAATACTGCACAAATACTGCATTAAACCGCTGACTGACCCACTCACTCACGAGACCACACATGCAAACACTCTGTGTGAACACCCGTGTATATACACTGCTTGGTTTAAATGAATCCTTCACGTATAAGATGCATTGCCAGTCAGTTGTACATTGCTACTCTTATTGTTGGTTGTCGCGTGTTTCTATTCAGTGCTATTTGTAGCCTTTGTTTCAGGCAATGTGTCTCCTAAGGAGTTATAGTGTCAGTTTACATATACTCATATACTTTGTTCAGCCATTTGGATAACAAACACACCATAGACTACCCACAGATAGTAGCACACAGTTCTGACGCGTGACGACCCTTAATAGACTCAAGAACAAAGCTTTGGATCTAAGAGAGTTCACTAAACCAATATGAAGCTGTAGTGAATGCATGGATTAACGATAGAAAGGCAAGTCTGAATGGACACAAATAAACGATAAACAGCCAGTGACAGACACGACGACAGTCACATATAGACCTTCACAACTGCTGTATCTTTTGATCTGGGGGCTAACATTCAAACGCTGCTATTCAGTTCTTCGTGAAATGATTTATCAGTGATCGATTATCGATAATTACTCCCTGATCGCCAAGCGCTTATACATGCAGAATCAGAACACACGCGGCCCTTCGAGGACAGAGTCAGAGGGAGGTAAGACACGGGTTAAAATCGTTGATATATTAATGTTCAGTTGTCTCATAACGTAATTGGTGATGAAGGAGAAATTAATGGTGTATCATTTCTTAAGTATTCAGTGGTGAGAGACTACATAATGGGTGTCTCACACGATTGCATTAACGCTTTACGCCACAGCATTGTTTTCTCATACAGATTATGAGGGTCTGTGAGAAAGTTCGTAATTGATAGACCATTTGTTTTTCTGGTAAAATTTGATATTGTCTCGTTATGGTTTGTGTGTTTTGAGGATTAAGGTCCTGATAAACTGGAAGTTTCATTTGACAAGAAAATAAGAATATCCCTATTTATCATCAATATTGCAGCTGTGGCTTTCATGTAAATCAGATTCACTTTTTAGCTTGAATAGAACCTGAGCAAGACGCGTATGTATTAAATGGTTGACTTTGTGTATGTAAATCAAAACTGGTTCCCGTCCTATTGCGCAACTTAGTAAGTCCAGAATTTTGAGACCAATTCATTTAACTGGATACATAATTATTAATCAGTATTATTTGATAAATCTAAGTACTTGTATAATGCAACACTGCGCTCCTTCTAATCCTGGAAAACACGTCGTGCAACGTGCTCTGTCGTACAGCGAGCTCTGACAAACGGAAATCTCCAAACGAGGCTCTCCCGCTAGAAAAGTTTGGCGGTCTGGAACGGACTTGATATTATATCAATCACATTGTGCATTACAGAACTACACTGAATAAGCGCATAAAAAAAATACATAACAGGTGTAATCAGTGAGCCAGATGCATTATGAATCATTTTACGACCTCATCAAACAAGGTCAGTCTGTGACGTCTTGGTTAAGGACATGCTGTCTACACCTCGCCATAAAATATAGAAATACGATGTTATTAAAGTTTAAAATTAAAATTCATTTGTAAATACCATTTTCTTATGAAACAAGAAATTGGAATTAAGTGTAACCATATTTGTTTGTGGTGTCTTTTTTCACTTTCACACGAGAAAATTCGGATCGGCTAAAATGTAGGTCATTGTCTGAATAGGTCAATGAGACTCATGTTTCGGTTTGACGGCTCAATACCGAGAATAGACCCATAGAGATACGGGTTAGAATTGGGCTTCAGTAACCCATCCTTGTCGTAAGATGCGACTAACGGGATCGGGTGGTCAGGCTCGCTGACTTGGTTGACACATGTCATCGTATCCCAATTGCGTAGATCGATGCGCATGTTGTTGATCACTGGCTTGTCTGGTCCAGACTCGATCGATAATTTACAGACCGCCACCATATAGCTGGAATATTGCTGAGTGTGGCAAACAACAAACCAATCAACCGAGAACAGGTCTAAACAATCCAAACGTTTTTCTTACCTATATCATTATACAGACTGCAAATCGTTTTACGAAACCATTAGTGTACTCAGTTTGAAAATAACGTCTCATTTCGAACCATTTTATTTTTAAACCATCTTTTTGGATGTATAATTCATACAATAGATATATGCAATATTGTGCTCTCTCGACAAGTGTGCTGTCACACGTATACCTAAAATTGATTACAAGCTGCTGGATTTACAACTGTTTCATAATGACAGTCAGACCCCATACCTCCGCTACTTTCTTCATTTTTATATTTGCTTCCGGAGAAAAGGGTGGCGGTGGCGATAGTGGTCTTACATCCTCTATATCTTCAGGCCTCGTATTTCGATATACCGCCATTAACGTATGAACCCGGGTTAGAATTGATCTTCAGCAACTCATGCTTGTCGTAAGAAGCGACTCGGGTGGTCGGGTTCGCTGACTTGGTTTACACATATCATCGTATCCTAAATGTGTAGAACGATGTTCATGCTGTTGATCACTGGATTGTCTGGTCCAGGCTCGATTATTTTCAGACCGCCATCATATAGCTGGAATATAGCTGAGTACGGCGTAAAACTAAACTAAACAAGCAAACCATTTATGTATTAGGTTTACCGACACGATAGCCCTGGAGATATTGAGGTTGTTGTTCTTAGGTCTGTATCATAGTTTGGTGACAACCCTTTCTCACATATATGCGAGTTATCAATCACAGGCCATCCTATCTATTTGACCAGAAAAGAAGCATTATTGGATATTATGTAAGCTGTATTAGCTACCACATGCGAAGGAATAGCATTAATTGTATTATGAATGCAGCAACCATTTTTGTAAAAGCGTTTGGCATCGGAAACCCATCTTTTGCTGCGTTCAAATCACATCTTAAAACGCATCTCTTTTCATTGCACTATTAACTCTATTCAAACATTATTATTATTTTGTAGCGCTTTGAGCACCCACTTAGTGGTTGGATTTAGCGCTATATAAATTTCCAGTATTATTATTATTATTATTATTATTATTATTAAGTGATGTCAAGAGACGGGTCCCAGTCTATCGCCATCACTCATCCTATCCGACGTCACAATTGTAACAATGCGTCACGTGAAATAATGACGTCATAAAGGCGATCATAAACAATGAGAGAAGAGTAGTCGGGAAGGTTGTGGCAGGAGACTGTGTCGTGGTAGGCGAACGTGTAGTTGGTGACTGCTGTCCATTTGTATTTTATAATTTGATTTGATTTGCAAATGCGAAAAAGTTTGAAAACACTTGAAAACAACTAGTCAAGAAAAATCTAATGAATTTATCTAAGATTAGGGAGAATATGACTACCGCCCTATGGTATGGTCAGTTTATTCATTTCAATTTCCATGATTATAGTTTAAATTTTCTACATTTCTGTATAATTATATTTCCACTTTTATTAAAAACTAGTTTTCTATGGCTTTTCCTCGTATTTATTTTTAGATCTTATCATTCGTGTTTCTTAAGTTGGTTTTCTTTTGGCTTATGGGATACACGTTTCTTTGTGTGTGAATGTCTGTTCGTCTGTCTGTCTGTGGCCGACGTGTGTTTATACTAAATTCATTAATCGTGAAAGATCCGAGCACTCTATCGTAACTTTCGTAAGGGAAGTAACTCCATTGCCAACCAGTTCAAAATCATTATTGACATACTTTATTCGGTAGCGTTAAGTTTTCAAATCTTAAATAGACAACAAATAACCTGCACCCCAAATATCATATTTATTATCCCACCATGTAAATACCACAAGCCACATTGCCAAAGCAACCGCGTGATCACGTGACCATTATGGCGGCTCCCACTTGACAAGTTGACGACTTGATGTAAACAAACCGGCCTCCGGGCTGAAACACCAACTGTTAACTGTGATATACTCATACATCTGTCACGATGTTGCATGTAACTACAGAAATAGGAGTACCAGGAAAACAAGGTACGGGCACTCCATTAAATCCTCCACAAGGTATAACTTCTCAAAAGGCAAGGGGCACCTACTAAAAAACCATTCACCACTGTCTCTATTAAGTTTGTATTGTTTTTTCCTGAGCTGTTTAAAGGAATGTAGAATACACTATGTGGTTATTATTAATTGCAGATAGTGATAGCTGACAAAGACTGAAGAACTATTTCTCACAAGGCATGTTTGTCTTTTTGAGGAAAGAAACAATTATTTTGTTGTATATTTATTAATATCTTTTCATATTTGTTTTGTTGTATTTTTTCATTTGCAAATTACGAAATTTGATCTCACCTAATTGACTCTTATCCTTATGTTAGCAGCAAATCAAGTGATTGGGAAAATCGTGCCATTTGCAATTCACACATAATTAGAGCTAAAATTGTTTATTTATTTATTTGTAAGTTGGCACGGCAATATTCGTTGATGAACGATAGGGTGACGTATTTTGCTGCGATTTATTATGTATTATGTTCAGTTAATGGCCCATTGCAGTGAACATTGGGGCATAGTTTGCTTGCCAAAAATGACCCTGTAAACCTGTAAACATGAACAAACCCGTGAAATTGTTTTTGTCCCAATCACTGCTATCAGTCGTTGCTATCACCCATGAATGGCTACTTTTGAATCACTACTATTATCAGGCCAAAGTCTGATTCCCACAAGAGTGAAACCAGCAAGTCCTCTGAATGAACACTTTGATTATATCGCACAGACAATGATATATCTTACACAATGTGTTACAACTTCATGGCTATCTTGTGGAGCCCTGCGATATTGCTGATGTGGCTTAAATCAAAGTTTACTCACTCTCTACTGCGTCATTGTCATTTACTGGTCAGGCTTGTGTGAAATACATACTAACAAGTATAAGGTGTGTGAACTCTATGAGTTTTTCATGGCCTCATTTCAGTACCTGACAAGTGAGTGAGTATAGCTTTACTCCACTTTAAGCAATATCGTGGTGGGAACACCAGAAATAGGCCTCACAGCATGTACCCTAGACTAAGGCTTAGTCTCTGAATATATATAATTTTGATAGTAACAGACAAACCCATTTATATTGATAAGGAGCGGAGCAGAGACTAAGAACATCTGCATTGGGGCTACACGTGCTGGGGTCATTACCAATTAGAAGTTCTGAATCACTGGCCTCCCTAGGGCTCCTTATCAATATAAATGGGTTTGTTTGTTACTATCAAAATTATATATATTCAGAGACTAAGCCTTAGTCTACATGTACCCTTGTGGGAGAACAAACACTTAACCACTAGCTACACTACTGTCCAAGTATCTGCCATGGATACCACATATGACAGGTGATGGATGAATGTTGTGTATATCAACAGTATTGAAGATTTTAGAATTCAAGTTGAGCAAATACTGTTAATAATGTGAGAACAGTTTTGGAGCTTGGGCCTATATTTGAGATTTTCAAAGAAATCTCGAACATTTATTTAGATATGTGGATCATTGTGCTAATGTCCTGAATGATTTAAAGGCTCTTTATTAACAAAATTGAGAATGAAAATGTAACATTGAACTGTCAAAAACAAATGATGTACAATTCACTTTTCTGATGTTTCATGTGATACATGTTCTGAAGAATGTGCTGCTAATGTTTCTATTTGTACATGCTTCAGAGCGTGAAAGGCGCCATTTTCCAGACATTAACAATCGCCCAGGACACACAGCTTACACAGCAAGAGGCCGGAGATATATCCCACACAATTATGGCCGTTATGAAGAATGGAGGCCACATGGAACTTTTGTTGATGTAGAGTATACAAAGTAAGTATCCCGGTGTCAGGTATCCCATGTAAGACAAAAACGTAATTTTTATGTTTAATATCATTTAAAGTTTTTATTTTACTATAAACTTTGAGTGATAAAGGATATATTCATCTATTTCACACAAAAATATCAAGTGTTTCCTACAAAAATAGCGTTGATGACATTGTATCAGCGAAACTATTGCCGCTCACCACATGCGAGGGATTTTGTATGGGTTTTCGACGATGAGCCATACTTTTCGCTCCGCACTCCGAGGGAGTGTTGTGATAACGTGGCTTCCTATTTATATATTGCCTGTCACAAGCAGACGACTGATATTACTGAATTTTCGCTTGCTATTCGTTGTTATATATAGGCAATTGATTTTGCATCTGAAGTGATATTAATGATCACGGGTAAATAATTTTGATGTTTGTTTGCTTTTTATATAACTTAACTTCCGGATTTCAGTCGTCAATAAAAGTTCTCACAACATCCACTGGTCATCTGCCCTACCGATGAAATTGCTTGTGCACTCCAATCGCACGCGTACTCCCCCAATATAGCGCGAGCAATGCAATCGTCAAAATCACCAGATCGTCGAATTCAGCTCGTTTGGGGATACAACACATTTTATGATACTCATTTCTGATTTCAATAATGGACACTGTTTTTCGCATGTACTGCTGCTGATTGACAAGATAAACAAAATGATAAACTCCAACAAACCCCACTCACCCAGAGAAATGTCAAATTCCATACCAGTGTCAATACAATACTATTATTATGTTTTATCTTAGCTCAAACATAAATGTTGTTTTCTGATTGACCGAGCGCGCTCTTCTATTATTTTCAATGGACCCTGCTTACAAGTGAGTTACCCGCTGAGAATGTCGAACTGTGGCAACTCCTTTGGTACTTTGTGTTAGTAATTCTTTATCTCAAATAATTGAGTCACGTATGATGTACAGAAATTACCAATGTTTTGCGAATGTAAATCGATGGAAGGGAGATGACTCTAAATTTGTTTTTCTAGTTGTTCGCTAAATTCTATGTCATCTGAAAATCTAGTATTGGCTAATTGCCTAATTCTGGTACTCCTCATTATAGTCTGATACCCGTGCTTCAAACAGTTCAAAATCAACATTGAGGTGTTCGGTAAGATAGATATGTTGTTCACAGGTCCATTTGGGCTCAGGGAACATTAACAAACATAGAGGGTCCATCAACCCATGCCCCCCTTGTGACCAGTGAACAACTTATACTGTCTGCCATTCTAATTAAGCTTAGTCTATGTTTCAACATATAGATCCTTGACAATTTTTGACAATATTGTTTTAGTTACATATAAGGCGTATTTTCATGCTCAGCATATTATAAACAAGAATAGAATCTATCACTATATGTTCAAGGCATCTGAGAACATTAATTGTGATGTGGTTCAGATCCGGGGGGCATGAATACAACATATATGAAAGTATAATTTCTTCGTCTTCGTGTGTAGGCATACAGTGACAGAAAATGGTATTGGGCATTTGGTAGTGAGGCAGTTGGGCTGGAAATCTTATGATCAAATCAGTGTTGATTATAGATGTCAACTTACTGTTTAAGTCTTTGTTTAATTCAGTGCGGGTCCAGACTGGGAGTCAAGGTTACGGTACCTGCCGCATCCGAAGAACCCTCACTATCCTGCTGCTGAAATATGGCCCAATAACTGGTGGTCTATGAGACCATACCCATGTAAGCAAAACATTGGTTACCATGGTTACTACTGTATCAACAATGATGCCAAACCAATTTTATATTTGGCTTTATTCAATGTACATACACAGTATTTCTCTGTCTGTGCCTAAATATTTCAATCTACATCATTTCTAATACACTCCTGTGTTAGTTTATGTACAATTATTTACAAGACCAAAACAAATATGACCTGGCCCAGGCTTTTGCCAAGTGCCTGCTAAAGTTTTCTGAAAGTCATGGTTATGATATATTTTTTTCCTTTTATAAAGTGTCTTTTTTTTTTGCTTTCTTTGAAAATATGTAGCAGGTGAAACATAAAATAAATAAAAGATATGAGTCTTTATTTATCCCTTTAACTTTGACACAACAAAGTTTGACTGTATGTGAGTCATTGTAGACCTAATCATTGTACAGCAGGATACGGACCCATTTTGAATTTATCCTGGTTCACTAGTAGTATAGGATTATATATGCAATTAAAATCATTTCAGTTTTGATTAAAAAGTTAAAAATTTTGTGAATTTGATGCATTTCAGACACTTATATGAGAAGTAAAAGTGAGTGGCTTTTGGACCCAGACCACACACAGATCGGAATGAGGTGTATCTTTAACGGACAGCATTCAGCCACCAAGACCTCCCATGATGAGATCACCCATACCATGCGATTTGGGAAAGGCAGGAATGGTAGGATATTATGTGTTATGTACTGCCTTACTCAGCGTTATTCCAGTTGGACCTGACAATCCAGTGATTATCATTATGAGCATCAAACCTTAAGTTGGGATACAGTCAAAATGCACTCAACCCACCCTAACCACATCAAGTTATTGGCCTTTTGCAACAATCATTTTGCTCACAACCGAATAATATTCTTGCCCAGAATTCCAATAATTAACCATCATGGTCACAATTTTGAATCCCCAGCAAGTTTACTTGGTTTGCTAGGTCCGAACCATCCTGAAAATCATGTTGCAAAACACACATTGTCTTTTTTTGATAACTTACATACAGGAGAAAGCAGCAAATGGGTACCCAGTAGGATAAGATGGTGAATGCAATATTTGCAGCAGGTGAAAACCTTTCCAAGTAGTAACGAACGGAAAGCCTGATTACATAAAAATGAAAATATAAAAAGAAAGGCACGGGCATGTTATGACATGTCACAAATGGAAAAAAAAATCGCTACAGTTTTTGCTTCTTTCGTGGTTTATCTGGACATTATAAATGTAAGCTTGCATTTTCATTAAAAAATAAATTTATTTAAGTTGTAGTTGTATTATTTCAATTTTATTATAAAAATAAAGTTCATATTTATCAACATGATATAGGTAATGTCTGTGAATGTCTACATCTCTACAATCCAAGATGGCGGTCAAATGTGAATAACGAACAACGGATATAGCGAACTAAATTTCTTGGTCCCTTGGAGTTCGTTATATCTGTGTTCTACTGTAGTTCTCAAGGAGGTACTCACTCTCGCGGGAAAGCAGATCTTTCAGATTTTTACTCAAAACAATTATGATATATGAAATAAGAAGCCTAAAAACTTCATGAATGTGAATCCAAGTCAAAAGATTTATTGTAGCTTTGTCAGCTTTATGACAGTTTTGTCAGGTTTATAATCGTCATAGTAACATCACAGAGCCTTTCTATACTTCACTTGATTAAAACTCCACATCCTTGGTGTAACAGCACCATATACATCATCTTCAGAGTCATAGTGGGAAACGTGTGTGTGTGGTCCTGTGCGTAGAGCCCAGATCACAAGTCAGTTGAAGTTAGGCAACGTCGGGTGTGGAGAGTCCTTGGATGGGTGACCATGTGTAACAGCTTGACTCCTGAGAGTTTCAAGGACTTCAGTCCTGCCCCATAACAAAGCACATGTGATACAGTGTGGTCTCACCTTAGGCAAGTGAGTTTGTTCAAAATTGTCTCTTTTCACCCAGCAGAAAATGGGTACCCGGTGGGATAAGTCATATAACTGTTAACCTTCTAGCACCTCACAGGCAGCTTGGGTTATCCGGGGTAATAATGTGTTAGAGCTTTGAGTATACACAAGTGTGTGTACACAGGCGCTTTATAAATGGCCATTATTATCCCTGCGGCAACGAAGTGTGAGAGGGATATAGGTTTGAGCTCTGTCCATCCTTCTGTCCATCCAAGATGATGGGGACAGATTTTCTCAAAAACCGTTATAGATAGGAATGCCTTGATGAAGTTCAAAAACAGAAACCGTGTTACAATTTGCTACAGTTATTGCCCTTGTCATGTGTTTCTTGACTTAGTGCTCTGTATCCCCAAAGGGGACAGATTTCCTCAGTAACCGTTATAGACAGGGAAACCAAATGTGGTATGTGTTTGCAGGACATGAATGTTGGGATGGAGTTAAAAAGCAGGAACCGTGGGGTGGGGGATATTGATGATCATGTCTATTTCTTCTTATCATTATGTACAGGTTCGTTGCTCTTCCTCCCATGTGAAAATGGCATGCTACACTTTACCTGAGATTCTTTTCAAATTGTTTAGATGTTATACAAAACTGTATTGATGGCATCCCTATGTTATTCCAGTGGCCGATATTCAAATGCGTAACTGTATCCCGGAGGCATCGCCAGGTGACAAGTCCTACCAGGCGCCAGAGTTCTCCAGCTCCTTCCACAGACTGGGATCCACTAGACCCTTAGTCAGCTTCAGGTGAGCTTCATTAATGACATTTACAGGTACAGCTAAGTTAATGTTGTGAAGGTGAGCATTCATTGTAACTACAAGGAAAGTGAAACACCTCCAAAAATATTCTCTCTCAAACATGCTTCCTGATGGGTATTTGCAATTGACAATGCTGAATACACTGATACCTTTTGTAAATAATATGAACAACTTCTGATAATTGTGAATATTTTTCAGATAAATATATTCAAAAGTGGGCATAGTAATGGAAAGAGGCAAATACATGTATGACTGAGTAAGTGTGTTGAGCCAATCATGTATGACTGAGTCAGTGTGTTGAGCCAATCATGTATGACTGAGTCAGTGTGTTGAGCCAATCATGTATGACTGAGTCAGTGTGTTGAGCCAATCATGTATGACTGAGTCAGTGTGTTGAGCCAATCATGTATGACTGAGTCAGTGTGTTGAGCCAATACAGTAATGCAGTATCCAATGCTGTACACAGTGTCAACCGAGAAACAACACCGTTGCTGAGCACAGTGTTTAAAACTCCCAAAATTCCTAACCAGACAGCTGGACTGGTAACTTAAATAAATTACCAGTCCGGATACAAACTTGCCTGTCCGATTTTCAACAATGAAAAACAAAAAAAAATCAGGTTTCTGAATACTTTACTGTTTGTAGGCATCGCAATGAACAGCATAGCACTAACAGGCAATGCACCGAAGTTTAGGTAAACTGAAAGTACATGTGTTGTGATTGGTTAATGTAAAATGAACTGTCCAATCGTAAATAGTAGACGAGAAGGGAACCTGTCTGATATTATGAAATATTTACTGTTAGGGGTAAAAACATCTACCAGAACACCGGACAGGCTACTTTTGAAATTTGACCATCCGAGATGAAAATAGATCGTTCCGGACGGTCGGGCAGGCGAGAATTTTAAAAGAAAGAGCAATAATCGACTTATTTTGCATTAATACTCTAAAATACCGCTTTGAAAACTATCAATAATAGATTTATATTTAGTTACAAATTATTGATGTCTTTGATCTATATTGAAAGCCAGACCAAGTTATTGTTTACATATCCAATAAGTATTGACAATGAATCTAGCAGAGACCAGGATTTAGTAGCCATCTACATCTAGCTGCAGGACCTTGTTTCCCTGTAACTGTGGATGAATGGCTGCCAGTTGGATGACCTTGACACTTGTTTTTTGTTGATATCACTGTGTTGCTGCACGTTGCTCACACTGCACAATTGTAAATAAACTGAGTCATGTGAAATGCACCGTGTACACATTGTGTTGTTTACTGACTGTCCGTGTCTCACACATGCTTTGTTTCAGTACACCTGTGTCTGTGATTCGTAAACCCGACACTTTTGTTGTTTACTGACTGTCCGTGTCTCACACATGCTTTGTTTCAGTACACCTGTGTCTGTGATTCGTAAACCCGACACTTTTGTTCCACTGCACACAATGTCTGCGTTCCCCAGGTAGGTGAAGGTCATAAGAAGTCACATGGTATTATTGGGTCATGGGGACGTTTCGGTGTAGATTCTTACACTGTTTTCAAGCTAACAACATTATTTTCACTTCTGCCCAGCCCTTTCTGCAATGCTAAAGCCCTAAATGAAGCAAGTCTAGATTTCCTCTGGTTCAGGTCAGGCATCTCACTGGGGCTCCTTTTCAATTTATATGGGATTATTTGTTTCTATCAAAATTATATATAGTCTGAGACTAATCATTAGTCTACTGCCAGATGGGCAAGATGTACTGCAAACCCATGAGGTTGTTACAACATGTTTCATATAGCATACAGCCCACCCTACCCCCACCCCACCCCACCCCACCCATGCTACTGGCGTGCAAGTAGCCCTGAAGGGATGAGGTTGTATGATAAACATGCTTTCTGCTTCATATATCAATACTCACAATGATGGTTCACCTGGGATGCACTGCATACATCCCATTTATTTTGTCATTTTATTTTATTTTATTTTTTTATCTGGATGATATCATTATTATTTGTATATAACTAATTAAATATTTTTTTGGGGGAACATGTAAAATATGTTTTGAAAGTCATGTTGCATAATTCAAAGACTGAATATCTGAAATCATTACAGGGACCATTCATAATTTATTTCCATGGGTGGTGATGATGATTTTAAGCAGAGGCACACTTTATCCCTGGGGGATAAATTCCGTGTAAAGATGCCTTTATCACATTTTCTGCAAAATACACCCCTAATAAATGTTGAATGTTTTTAGACTGTTAATGAAGGGTTTTTACTTAATTATTATTGTTTCTTTATTGAAGAAGTATTAATATAAATGTTAAGTCTTGATAAATAAGTTTCCCGTCATGCATGCACATCTTTATCACAGCGTCCACTATGGCCAACTATTTGCAGTCAATTGTTGCAAAGGTTTATACGTTTTTGTGCTCAGAAAAAAGACAGAGGTAAACCTTTCATTAGTTTAGAAAGGGTTTATTTCAGAACTTGTAGAGCTGTTGGTATGTCTTACAAACAAGTTTACAATCTTGTAAACAAATCAGACAAGACAGGGACCGTCTCAAAAGCAAAACCAGGATGTAAAACCATCCTTGACAACTTTGACAGGCGGGAGTCTACAAACTTTATGAGAAGAAGAATATATATATTCTAAAGAAGCTACATGATAAACTTTGGCAATGTTCACAACTAGATTACACTGACAATTACATCCATATTTTTTCCAATGTAATATACTGTTGGCATGCAAAACATTTTTAAAACCTTTTTCTACAATCAATCGATAAGATAACACAAGTGATAGGATTCTTTCCAATGTACAGTATCCCTTTTCAAAACAAAACACATACATGATCCCTTACATACCAATATAATATACATATGTACACATATTCAACATTTTGAAGAAAACATCTATTGAGATGACCCATCGCCCGAGCGTGTGCTCAGGTGTCAATTTCACCTGTCGATACCGTGGATGCTGATGACGTAACACAGGCAGTTAATGTTTGTATCAAATAACGTCCCACTACCCCTTATTTTTCTAAGTTTTGGTATTTTCATCAGTAAAAACACATTTTAGGGCATGTCTCAAAATATATTCCCTCGGTCTACATTAGGTAGATGTTTCTTAAAGTGATATTTGTTATTTAAGTAACTGTAATACCTCTGAATTTTAAATATAAGTCAAAAAGCATTTTTCTAGCATTTCCGACAGTACTTAACAGCTTGCCATGTGTGTGTGTTCAGGGAGACATACAAACAGAAGGAGCAGAAACGGTCGATGGATGACGAGGTGATGCTGGTACGGAAACTGGACGACTGGAAGCCTGCCACGCCCCTCCCTCTCACCCTCCCACAGGAGGACAAGGAGAAGGAGAACAAGAAAGAGAGATAAACAACAATCACTTCAGCAATTCAACAACAAACCACCACTTCAGGGAGGCAACAACTGCCTCTACAGTGATGTCTCCCATCATGACTTATTGCCAGTCATTGCTGTTTTTGTCAGAACAAGGAATGGTTCTCCTGTGCTATTTCTTATCTACATGGAACAATTATTACTGAATCACATATCCAGGAATAAACAAGTTTTTTCTATGAAAAATAGTAAATCTATAAGCTGCGATAAAATTTTAATTTAAAACCTGCAATGAATTATTTGCAAGAAGTTTTGATTTATTCATTGTATTTATTAGTCACTTAATATTTTAATGTTGATTAACATTTATTTCTGATAGATCACATTTACCTGCAATATGGCCAGGCGTCAGTACTTCACACTCGTGTCTCCTCAGATGTTGACCTGGTCTTTCTGTTGTCGACTTCAAGATCCAGTTTTTATTAATTATTTGACTGGCCTACAGTTGAGTAAACTAAGAACAACAAATTTTGTGGCTTACATCCCTTTTGGAGTTTGAAAAGGTGATGAAGATGTCAGTATATTCACTGAAAATACACAACAGTGTCAGTGAACGTGTCATCTATACAACTGCTTATCAAGTTTTTGTTAATGTCATTACAATGATTATTTCAATCAACCACAAATTTAGTAGGATGCACACATACTGTTCTTGAGTGCAGACAGTCGCAGTGAGGTTTTAAATGAAATTGTAGAATATAGTGTAAAGAACCTATCTCACAAAAACTTTCAGTGTGATTACAAAATATTAATCTGTGCTTTTCGTTTCGCTCTTCATCTGTTTGAAGAGACATTGTTACTGATGTTAGTGTGTTGTATTTGTTAAACAATTTCATTCATTTTTAATTCCTGTCATTTGGTTACAAAATGTTATTTCATCTGAAAAGTTAATTTTATCTTATGTTTTATATCGCAGCTTCTTGGGGTCATTACTTGCCAGGTTCCATTGTATTGACCTATTAAAATAAGGTTTTAACTTCTATGACCTCCATTGCTGTGTAATATGGCTGCACACTCCCTGTCTTTTTAATAAGGAATGAGTTAATTGATCTATGCCAACTTTGATCCACGTTAGAATTGATTTCAGTTACCCATGCTTGCCTTAAGAGGCGACTAATGGGATCAGGTGGTCAGGCTCACTGACTTGGTTGACACATATCATCGTATCCCAGTTGCATAGATTGATGCACATGCTGTTGATCACTGGATTGTCTGGTCCAGACTCAATTATTTACACACCACCACCATATAGCTGGAATATTGCTGAGTGCAGGGTAAAACTAAACTCTCACTTATTCTTTTGGCATGTCATCCTTTCCCACAATAACGACTTATATTTTACTGCTTTTAAACATTAAGCTGAATGTCATGCCACATGCCAACAAATACTGCTAGTGTAAAGGGGACAATTCCTTTAACCTCAAAACATATTTTTCACCAACTTCTGAAATTTGATTCTGACAAACAAAATTCAAAGCAGGTCATTGTCTCCATGCAGTAATTAACTTTGTATAAAGAACAAATATTGAATGAAAATAGTTTGGTGACAAATTAAACTCAAATAACTCATATAAACTTGATAAATCTGTTCTTTAGATTGGGGTAAAATCTTATCATTGCTCTTCTTTACTCAACTTGATTTACGAACTTGTATACATGTGAAAACGTGAGGCTGTGTCAGAAGTTGACGACATGTAACAATCAACATGTGAGCAAACACTGAGACAGCATTGTTACTGTTCTATTGTTCTGTTAGAGTTATTGTATACTAAACCACACTCAATGTTGCTTCATGCAGAATGCATGACTATATATACATTTTCATACTTCTATATTTACAAATATGTATTCTTCCAGTGTTGGGTTTGATTGCCAGTATTAATATAAATATAATATATTTATTGTAACTATTTCATATAAATAAATATATATGCCTGATTGCTCATAACTATTCTTCCATGACATTTTACTGCTTTTAATAAATATGTTGATCAATTCAAAAGAAAGATATTTATTCTGATCTCAGTATTTGAAGCCTTTTTATACAATGCATACAATGTACTGTATCTAGTAATCACATGCATGTACTCATGATTATTTAATATGTGATATATATTTTGATACTTCTCATAAATTGTGAAAAATGATCAATAGATGTATTTGTTACTGAAGTACCTCAGTTATCACAAATTGTGCCTTCAGTAACCGTTAAACACCACTGTGTCTAAGTTGACGAGATATTTTGAGATATCCAAGGTTTGAGAAACCCATAAATGATGGACAAATAAGGAATAAACTGGAACAATTTATCTGAGATATCTTTAAGTTTGACACAACAGTGTTTATGATAAGCGCCACTTATCAGGCCTGCACTAAGCATACAGTATTTATAATATAATAATAATAATGAAACTTGATATAGCGCTAAATCCAACCTCTAAGTGGGTGCTCAAAGCACTAAAAAACTTATTGTTATAAGTCAAATGCTCTGTTCTTGATTATGCCGGTGTAATATATAGTTATGGTATATTTTTGTATACTAGTGACTAGTATACTATTTCTCTGTGTATCACTTTATAACATTTCATTTATTGTATATTAAGTTATGAAGCAAGTCAGTATTAACCCCAGTTGTACAGTTTTCAGTACATTAAAGGTGTTTGTGATATTTATTTTTGCCTCCCTACTGCTCAAGTTTCTCAGTATTATTGCACTGCTTTTACTTGTGTATGTACAGACCAGTAACAGTGAAACCCTTTTAATCTGGAAACCCAGCTTTCAGGACAGTTATTATCAAGAATGGTAATTGTGAAGGAGATACATGTATTACCATTGTATGTGAGATTCATTATTCTTAACGATTTGCTGGGCAAATACCTTCTGAAGTCTGGTTTGGATGGATGAACCGTCTCCTTTAAGATGAGCGCCAACTGCCTTGTCAATGTCAATACTGCACGTATTTGTGAAAGAGTTACTCTTTTGTGTTGCACTTTGATGTGTGAAAACTGCTAAAGATGTATTTTATAATGCAATTGCTCATAGAGATTATCACCTAGCAACATGTGTGATGTGATACCTCAGTGTCTGTCTAGATGTGCCACATTTGAATTGTCTCCCCTTATTAACAAATGGAGTATTTTAATACAAAATATGACAGCATATTTGTGATTCAAATAAATCAGAAATATAGTCTATAGTGGTACTGGTACTTCGAATGTGATGTCAGATTGGAATGTTTTGTTTCTAAAAATAACTTAATGTTTTTTTATTGATTCCCATATTTGTTTCCAAGGAGAGTAAATCATTTGTTTAGATTATTTGAAATATTAGCTGTAAAAGTGTATCATTCAGCATTAATGCCCCAGCTTGTCATTATGTGGATGACAAAGATGGAGTGACATAATTCAAAATCAGGCGATTTGATAAAGTATACAAGATTAATATTGCTCCTTTTGCAATGATAATATATTTTGTATAATCTACATATTAACCAAGCAAATTGCCTATATGATACAATATTTTCCATGTTTTTTAAATTTCTTACAAAACATGAGATGATCTTTTTCAGAATTGTTTCATTGAAATATATTTAAAGATTCATAACAAGATGCCTCTTGTGTTGTTTATTTAATGAATGCTGAAGCTTCCTGCACTCGGCAAGGTTTGTTTGATTAATGCTGCCATCAAGTCACTCAGCTGTACGACGTGATTGTTATTTTCATCAACTCTTCTAACAAGCATAAGGAACTCAGGAACTCCTATAACTATCTCCTCAGGTACAGAAACTGTTCTTCTCTCCTCCTCAAGGGGGCGGTGGGGTAGCCTAATGGTAACAGCGTTCGACCCGGATTGATTCCCCACATGCTAAACGTGTGGAGCCCATTTCTGGTGTCCCCTGCCGCGATATCATTGGAATATTGCTAAAAGTGACTTAAAACTAAATTCACTCACTCCTCTCCTCCTCTAGGTCTGTCATAACTACAGGTACAGATGTCATTTCATTGTCACAAAATACTCTTGACTGATGACCAGCAAGGGTTTGACAAACATGGTGGAAAATAAAATATTTAAACTCAAATTGGACATGGTTACATGTAGTTGTGAGTTAGGGCAAGTGTGTTAGTGTCTCATCTTCAGTAGTTCTCTCAAGATGATGTTAACAGCTGTACATGGCCATGGTCAAGGTGAGCTATAACCCAGGGGCGAATGCAGCTTTTGAGAAGAGGGGTGCACAGTTCAGAAAAGGGGGTGCACAGTTCATTTTCACGAGAGTTTCATTGGTAATTTAATAAATTTTCAGGACAAAATGGGGGTACGCATGCATGCACGCACACACACACACACACACACACGTGCCAATGCAACCTAAATACAGTTTGACTTTTTAATGTAAATTATTTGAAACATATGTATGTTATATTTGTATTTTCTTAGTAAAGTACATATTCTAGTACTTTTGTACTTTTGTAAATATTTGGAAGCCTGTGCAAACCATGTTACGTTAGCAACATTAGTTTTATATAAGACTCAAAATTATTTGTCATCCCTCTAAAATATCCTGTAAGAAAAGAACAAGAAAAGAAATGGGCTTGACATTTCGGTTTTAATACTGACATGTTACATAATGTTACCTCAATAAAACCAACACCGATCTCTGTTTACAGTTAAAAAGCGTGCTACCTTGGAGAAAAACATTCAAATTTGTGTCCCATAATAATAATTATTGCAACAATATAAAATAATGCATTAAGTGTCATTGCACTTGTTCATGTCACTACTACACAATGTAGGCATTGTCAATCAATAAATAATTGCATGTTCATCACTCAGCATTGTCAAAGGATATTATTCAAATTGGTCATTATCCATTCATTCCGTGTATACCCTCAACACTGACAAGGACACAGACTCACACGCACATTCTCACACACATTTGTCCAACAAGTGACACATATAAGCTCTATGCCAGGTATGATATTCTTTCAAATAACAAAACACTGATATTCATCAAAACATAATTACGGCAGTAGACAAGTACAGAGATGCCGACCCTTATTTAACCCAATTAGTATTTTGGCCAAAACCTGATGCAAAAATTAGTATTAACTTTTCCAAAGAAATTTTGTGTTTAATAAAAATATATAGATATTCTAAGAACTTGTTATTAACTTCGTACTTACCTAAATCAGAAGTAAGTATCCACATATAGCTTGATACTGAATAAAAGGTGTTTGAAATTTATTCAATGGTACGTATGCTATTTGAAAATGTAACTTAACATATTTTTGGAAAACTTTGTATATTTTTACTGCTATCGTAGTCGTGTATTTTGTGTTGCTTTTTTCTTAACAAATACGATAAAATCGTAAGGGTTGGCATCTCTGCAAGTAGTGTTGGAAATAGTTTTGTCCAGTTATGTTTCAGCAATGGTTGGGCCATGACACACAAACTACTGAAATAATTTGGGGTTATGTTTGATTTGGTCAAAGGAACAAGTTCCATTATTGATTGCTGTTTCATGAAAGTTTGATGCAGTTTGAAAGCCAGAACCCAGTTTGCATGATAGCTTTCAAATGAACAAGCCATTAGCACCCAGGATGTCCATCATGCAATGTGGAAGGTGTTATTAAACTTTTGTTGTATATTCCTTCAGAGAATATATGCAGTTCAATAAACTCCTGATGAACGGGAGCTACAAGTAATCATGAATGAGTAACACGCCCATTTGCATACAATGTCTTAAAGTGCAAAACCATCACCATTAAGGTAAATTCTGGAGTTTTCGTTGTTATAATAATAACTCTCCCTAAAAGAGTGATGGTTTGAAGGTCCTCAAAGTAACACGAGTGTAGTTTGCTATCATGAAAATAACAAATCACCCGTAAAATTAGGTCATTTTCAATGATGACCCTCCCTGTGAATGTGGCATGTTCAGTAAACACCAAGTGATATGGAGCTCTTTATCTGGAAGGTGCCATGGAGGACATTGGAATCGGCAACTGTCGTCTGGTTGGGTTGCTGGCCACCGACATAGAGGTCCATTGTGCCTGAAGCCCAAGAGAAAGGACAAAACTGATCAACCTCCTGATTAGCTGTGTTACCTGTTCTCCCTGACTGCTGTCACCTAAATAAAAAGGCTTGCCAAAATCACTGACAACTGTCATCAAATTTCAAAGGCCTCCTATCTCACCAGGCTCAACCACCCTTCATTGACTGCTGTCCACACAACTCACCAGGCTCCATCACCAATCCCTGACTCATGTCCACACAACTCACCAGGCTCCACCACCCATCCCTGACTGTTGTCCACACAACTCACCAGGCTCCACCACCCATCCCTGAGTGCTGTCCGCACAACTCACCAGGCTCCACCACCCATCCCCGACTGTTGTCCATACAACTCACCAGGCTCCACCACCCATCCCTGAGTGCTGTCCGCACAACTCACCAGGCTCCACCACCCATCCCCGACTGCTGTCCACACAACTCACCAGGCTCCACCACCCATCCCCGACTGTTGTCCATACAACTCACCAGGCTCCACCACCCATCCCTGAGTGCTGTCCGCACAACTCACCAGGCTCCACCACCCATCCCTGAGTGCTGTCCATACAACTCACCAGGCTCCACCACCCATCCCTGAGTGCTGTCCACACAACTCACCAGGCTCTACTACCAAGCCCTGACTGCTGTCCACACAACTCACCAGGCTCCACCACCCAGCCCCAACTGTTGTCCACATAACTCACCAGGCTCCACCACCCAGCCCCGAGTGGTGTCCACCCAGACTGCCATGGCTTCTGCAGTCACTGTGAAGTTCACCTCCACCATCTTGGAACTAGGGATGAACACTCGATTGAAGTCCACCAGCTGCAGCCTCGGTGTGACGACTGTGGCATTCTCCCAAGAGATGTAGACTTGTACCACCTGGAGAGGCAAGCTGGTCAGTCAGTACCAGACCTCAGTTTTGTCATTGGAAACATAACAGTGAGTAACAAGAAGACAAAGTCATCAATATCGTGGAGCACTACCACCAATTTCAGTCTGTCAAACTTGTTGCCAAGGAAATGCCAAAAATATTTTATTCAGAAATCCAAAAATACCGAAAGGCACCAGTTCACCACCAGATCTATCTATGTGCCAAGTTTGGTGAAGAAATAGTGAATGGTTTTAAAGTTCTGCTCCAGAAAAGAGCACTACTACCAATATCAGTATAAGTCAAACTTGTTGCCATGGGAACGCAAAAACTATTTTATTCAGAAATCCAAAACTACCAAAAAGCACCAGTACCCCACCAGACCTATCTATGTACCACATTTGGTGAAGAAAAAGTGAACGCTTTTAAAGTTCTGCTCTGAAAAAGAGCACTACCACCAATTTCAGTCTGTCAAACTTGTTGCCATGGAAATGCCAAAAATATTTTATTCAGAAATTCAAAAATACCAAAAGCACCAGTTCACCACCAGATCTATCTATGTGCCAAGTTTGTTGAAGAAATAGTGAATGGTTTTAAGTTCTGCTCCAGAAAAGAGCACTACCACCAATATCAGTCTAAGTCAAACTTGTTGCCATGGAAACGCAAAAACTAACATCTTATTCAGAAATCCAAAACTACCAAAAGGCACCTGTAGATCATCAGATTTATCTATGTGCCAAGTTTGTTGAAGAAATAGTGAATGGTTTTAGAGTTATGCTTCGGAAAAGTCAAATGTGCACGGACGGACAGAGTCCATTTCAATACCCCTCGCAAAATGCTGTTATCTAGCTAAAAGAAACATCACTATATGCAATAAACAAGAGTTGTTATCCATAAAGTTTTATGATTTACTGACTCACTAACTTCTAGAATGCTAATCAAACAATTATAACAGTGACAGCTGAACTGCCAGTTGAATAAATGAATCACATTCAGATCGGTTTGTGATGTGATATATTGAAATTGTCTAAAAATACATGCTGTTGTCAAAATTAGTGAAAAATCATTTGCACAGATATTTCCTCCTTTAAAGGTCACATGCAACCAAAAAATCAAACATAATTAAACACAATTATCACTTATTCATGACATATAATATATATTGGTGATTATGAAAAAACATATAAACAAAATTATAAGCGTACAATCGCAAATCAAAAGTGCAATATTTTGTACATGGGTTTACTTTCCAAGAAACGAAGCAGCCGGGATACCGAACCCAGTCTGAGTGGGTGGGTGTGCACTCTAGTGTAACGGCTGGGTCATTTGCAGATGCCCTCACGGCTCATTGTGTGTGTATATATAGAGATGTTGGGTTTTGTAAATACATGCTCATTTTTGGTGTATAACATTTTGCAATCAACAGACATCATAACATGTCATGTGTTCAAGTATTACACGTGCCTGTCTGTGTAATTACATAATGTGACAAGAGACCGAACTCGGGCCATAAATCAATGTGTTTTGTTTATGGTGTATAGCCTGATAGGTGTTAAGTTCAAATTGCATGTGGTCAGTGATCGAAGTTGTGTATTGAATATTGTCATTAGCAGACAGGCAGGCAGACACATAGGTGTACAGACATTGAGTTTTGTCTGTGACAACGACATATCTATATCACAGTTAGAAATTCTGTCAACGCTAAATAATGACATTGCTTTTAAGTATCAAACTGAGAAAGTGACTCAGTAAGAAGAACGTGTGGTGAAATAGACAAATGAAATTATATAAACAGTTAAATCGGTAATCTACTGTCATAACATATAAAAAGCTTGCGCCTGTGAAATATCAACAAAACATTAGACCGAGTATTCACCCGACAACCCGCTTCCAAGCTGCGCAAACCTATTTCACTGCGCATGTGCTATGAGCGCAGCCCAGCTGTTGAAACCAGTTAAGTTCCCCCAAGCGCTGGGGGAAAATTAGTGAATCGTTTGTACTCCGATTTCGCGTGGTTTTTTTCATCGCGTTATTTTTTAACTTTATAAGTTGAATTTGCATTTTTGATGATTTGTTTCGGTAAGTCCACACCGAAAGGTATCAGAATCTGCAAAGTTGTGTTTTACGTTGCATGTGACCTTTAACTGACTTGCACAATCATGTCAAATATTAAACACAAGTATGAGATTCTCTGTTTCACACAATCTTCCAAATGGGTCTTCCTCCACTCTAGCCAATGTCTCAACTTCCAATTCAAATCACAACGGAATTAACATATATAAACTGAACATGGAAACATGAGACAATGAGTGTCAACTAGAGCTGTGTATCGGTGCCTAAGTGGCGAGATGATATATCCTGATACCAGTTTAATGAGGCGATACAATATATCATGAAAGTATTGGCAAGGAACCTGCGAGACGATTATCATCACGATACAGTGATGGTGATATGATACGTATCCTGATACTTTACAATTCTAAACACAGGACATATATGATAGATATAATGACTGAATCTTTATTTGTTATACAGCAGAACATGTGCTACATTCACACACACTTAAAAGGCTGTTCATGTAATGAAGTTTCAGCATTTAATGCTTAAGAAAGTACAATTCAAACATAAACCTTTGATCTAGGCTTCCCTTGGAAAGTTGTGTTTCTGCACCAATGCTTTCACTGACATTTCAATGTAATTTATACCAGAACCACTGAAAAAAACTCTTAAGTATGCTTTCTAAATATATCTTCTCTTTCTTAACAAAGCTAAGACATCGTTCATAGTTGTTAATAAATGGTGTTATTTGTCAAACAACTAAAACATGTTTCAATTACTTAAAGACAAGTTTTTTACAGTTCACTGAGATTGAAAAATGTTCACATTCTTTCACTGATACACCAACTCCTTTGTTCATCTAACAAAGATGGCAGACACAAACAGATTCCTATAAGGTTCATTTTGTTTTTAAAATTTAGAAGTATTTCAAAGAGACTCCCTTCCTAATCCTAATGCAATACTCCTTACAACTTTAAGTAGTATTTAAGCAGTATCGGGATATATCGTCTCTTGTGGCGATACATCGATGTATCATGGATCCTTGCGATATAAATATCCTGATATATTGCCTAAATGTGTTTTGTATCGAAACACTCGTATCGCGTAGTTGATGATGCAAACATCGATACTATCGATGAATCGTTACACCACTAGTGTCAACAAACCTACTGCTGTCAAATATCAGTCTAGGTCCCGAGCCACAAAGCATTCATAATGCTGCTGTAGTATTCTCAATGAGTTGTACAGCCTATATTATCTCCGTCATTACTTTATGTGCATCACGTGACTTGTGTGCTACGTCAGAATAAAGCGGGTGATTGGAACTACTTTGCATGTCATGTTGTCCCTTGTGTGTGTTGACGAAGAGAGCCCATGAAGATACTACAGCTGCATTTGTAAGCCTATGGTAAACTATAGAGTTACGACAGGTCGTAAAGTTACGAACACTTTGTGGATCTGGACCCTGGTTTCCATGGTAATCACACCTCTCACCTCATCAGCATCATACTGTCCAGTGTTGTGCACGACTACTCTGCCAGTGAGGTTCTGCCCAGCCTGTATCACTGCAGGGTAGGTGAGGCTGGTGTAGTTGAAGGTGGTGTAGGACAGGCCGTAGCCGAAGGGGAACAAGGGATCAGCCTGGTAGTAGCGGTACGTCTTGCCGTACATGGAGTAGTCGGTCATCTTGCCGACCTGCAGTCAAGGCCACACTATGCACAAACAACTGTATGGGCAACATGTACAGTGTCCTCCACATAACAGTTATCTTCGGGGAACAAGTATATTCTTGTTCCGAAGAAAGAGTACTATTGCAGGGTTGACTCTCTTCCTTCTGACCAAATCCCCTTCAAGGAACTCTTACTTTAAACTAAGAGTCTAGACAGGTTCATTGATATTCCCCATTTTTCTAAATGTGTTTATTAAATCACAAAAAAACTGCATTCTATATCTGGGCTAGGTGGAGGATAGTCTGTTACTATGGTATCTCTCACCTCAGTACTGTTCCTAAGCCAGTGGAAATGTAGTTTGTACCGTACTACGCTAATTTTACTTTATACTTTCACTAGATCAGTCGTAGCGACTATGGTAACCCAATTCTGGACTGTAAATAGGTTAGTTGCAGTGTAGTTTGTTACTATGGTAACTCATGTCTGAACTGTCACTTGGTAGCTGTAGTGTAGTCTGTTACTATGGTAACCCAGCTCTGAACTGTAAATAGGTTAGTTGAAGTGAAGGTTGTTACTATGGTAACCCAACTCTGAACTGTAAATAGGTTAGTTCTAGGGTAGTTTGTTACTATGGTAACCCACCTCTGAAATGTAACAAGGATAGTTGTGTAGTTTGTTACCATGGTAACCTACCTCTGAAATATAACTAGGATACGTTGTATAGTTTATTACTATGGTAACTCACGTCTGAACTGTACCTAGGCCAGGTGTAAGGCAGTCTGGCAGCGGGGACAGAGTTGGTACCTCTTGCTGTCAGCACCCTGATCAACGCCTGACCGGTCTCCTGAGCTGGGAAGAAACACTGCAGGATGGCCAGCACCTTGTTTGACTCCACAGCCCATGTCATGTTGACCGGCCCAGCACTGAACACCATCACAACCACTGGAGCATCACCTAATACAGTAGCACAACAAATTGGGCATCACCTGTAACAGTCGCACGACCACTGGGGCATCAGCTGTAACAGTAGCACAACAACTTGGGCATCACCTGTAACAGTCACACTACCACTGGGGCATCAGCTGTAACAGTAGCACAACAACTTGGGCATCACCTATAACAGTAGCACAACCACTGGGGCATCACCTGTACCATAGCACAACAACTTGGGCATCACCTGTAACACCACAACCACTGGGGCATCACCTGTACCATAGCACAACAACTTGGGCATCACCTGTAACAGTAGCACGACCACTGGGGCATCACCTGTACCATAGCACAACAACTTGGGCATCACCTGTAACACCAACACAACCACTGGGGCATCACCTGTACCATAGCACAAGAACTTGGGCATCACCTGTAACACCAACACAACCACTGGGGCATCACCTGTAGCACCAACACAACCACTGGGGCATCACCTGTACCATAGCACAACAACTTGGGCATCACCTGTAACAGTAGCACAACAACTTGGGCATCACCTGTAACACCAACACAACCACTGGGGCATCACCTGTACCATAGCACAACAACTTGGGCATCACCTGTAACAGTAGCACGACCACTGGGGCATCACCTGTACCATAGCACAACAACTTGGGCATCACCTGTAACACCAACACAACCACTGGGGCATCACCTGTAACATAGCACAACAACTTGGGCATCACCTGTAACAGTGGCACGACCACTGGGGCATCACCTGTACCATAGCACAACAACTTGGGCATCACCTGTAACACCAACACAACCACTGGGGCATCACCTGTAACACCAACACAACCACTGTGGCATCACCTATAACAGTGGCACAACAACTTGGGCATCACCTGTAACAGTAGCACGACCACTGGGGCATCACCTGTAACACCAACACAACCACTGGGGCATCACCTGTAACAGTATCAGATGATATGCCACCACAAACACAACCGTTGAAGCAGAACCCGTAACAGTAGCACAACCATTGAAGCAGCTTCTGTTGCAGAACCACCTTAAACACCATTGGTGAAGCCAGCTGTGGGTGATACAGACAGTTACTCACAGCTGTTGATATAGACAGTAACTCATTGTATTTAACTGCATCCTGCAGTAAGTAATGTGGACAGTTACTCACTGTATTTAACTGCATCCTCCTGTAGGTTATACAGGCAATTACTCACTGTATTTGACTGCATCCTGCAGTAAGTAATATGGACAGTTACTCACTGTATTTGACTGCATCCTCCTGTAGGTTATACAGACAATTACTCACTGTATTTGACTGCATCCTCCTGTAGGTTATACAGACAATTACTCACCGTATTTGACTGCATCCTGCAGTAATTAATATGGACAGTTACTCACTGTATTTGACTGCATCCTGCACCAAATCCTGCTGGTGTCCAGGGAGCTGAATGTCCTGTCGGTCATTGCCTTCACTCTCTGAAACTTGACCTGAAACAATGGATTTTGTCTTGTCTATCAAACCCATAACATGTTATGAGGGCAGATACACATTTTCACATCAAAACCTGCGTGACAACACACCCACGTCTGTCCACAACAATCACCCGACGATGCAAACCTTGACATGACATCTCCCCTCACCTGTCCCCACACACACAAACACCACTTGGGCATCGGACACGGCCTGTCTGATCTCTGCACTGGAGTACTTGGAGCATGTGTTGTCGTCACACCCAGGAGCGTAGGCGATGTTGACGGCCAGCTCCTTCAGGCCAGCGAGCGGGGTGGTCACATAGTGTGGCATCACAGTCGCAGAGTAGTCACCAAACAGCTGCTTCATGTTGTCAGCCATTGGCCCTAACACCTGTAATACAGCACTGTAGTCTTCAACATAGCAACATTGTACTACCCATGAATAACAATTCAGTTCTCAAAGCAATGAAATTCAAGCATTCCCAGCATGACCAAAAAACAAAATATAATTTTGTATTCATATTTGAATCTTTAAGTTTAGCTGTAAATCTTGACATTATTTATTCCAGGTTTGTCAGTTGTTAGTTACAAGACCAAGAGGGTTAATGAAAACACAGGTTCTGTAGCTCACCTGTATGATACTGTTTACATACACTGAGAAAGGACAGTTATTGTTTGTAACAGTTCACACATTCCATTTCTAAAATTGATTGAACACCACCACCCCCAACCCCCCAGCTCACCAGAACAGAATGGGTGACCCCCCTTAAAATCATCATCTATACCCTAGCCATAAATTATGAAGGGTCCCTAAGTACATTTCAGTCTCAAAGATTATCAGCAAAATAGAAGGTTTGAATTGATTAGTCATTCCTTACAAAATTACCCTGCAAACTGGCGATGACTTCACTGGGACACCGCAGAAAAGCTCCATGTACATATCATCAGTAATACTCACTGCAATGTTGTTGAAGCCACTGGTTTTGAATGGTAGGAAGCCCCCTGTATTCTTCAACAAGACAAATGACTTCATGGCAGCATCCAGAGATAGCTGTCTGTGAGCTGCACCTTGAATAGACGACATGTCGATTGTTGCATACGGATTCATTGTTGGTGGGTCGAACTCGCCAAGTCTCATTCTGGTGTAGAACAGTGGCTTCACCCGATCTCGCACAAGGCTTTCATCCAGTTTGCGTTGTTTTATGGCTTCCACTGAAGAAAATATTTGAAACATTCAAGTTTAGTTTAATATAATATCTCAAAGGACTATGTCCAGCTGTTCAGACAAATGTGAAAAATAAAAACATTTACAGCATCCTTTGTTCTGAAATATGTTTTCTTTTTTGAATTTCAGCAACAGACAAGGGCAGGTAACTCTAAACCGGATTCAATGAAACAAAAATAAGCAATAAATATTTCATTCATATGACCAAAAATGAGATAAGAGTCATTCTAAAGACTAGCAGCTGACAAGACATTATAATGATTCAAATAAGTAATGTAAGTCATTTTATATCCAAACCCAGCCTTTGGATTTTGAAGAAGCATGCTACTACGCTGGCAGAGTAGTATTCACCAATAGAGGTGTAGACATTGTACTTGTCATCCCCCGACAGCTCCAGGTTACAGCCGGCCTTGACACACGCTGTGACAGCATCAACATGGTTGTGCTTGTAGAAGTGTGTCCAGATGACGTTTTCAATGGCACCTTCGTCGCTCACCACGTACCCAGTGAAGTTCCACTGCTTCCGAAGTATCTCTGTCAGAATGTACTCATTGGCACAAGCTGGTATGCCATTCACACTGCAAGGTAGCACAAACATGTCACATACCCAGATAGCAACGTTGGGCCAACGTCCGAATGCTATCACGGTATTGGAGTATCTTTACACATGATCCTGTGACGTTTAATACAGACTGATCATACAATATCATCATTGGTTTTGCGTCAGGGGGAAAATATCTACAAACACGTATTGTGTGTAGTGCATTTTCATAAGATGTCAGAAGCTATGGAATCCAGAGAACTGATACTTTCTTGCAGAAGTCATGGTGATAATTGAATATAATGTCTCCTGTGTATCTTTTAAACCAGCAATATTATGATCAGTCATTTGCCAATCAGTCATAAGGTCATCATAGATTTTCTGGATCATTTCTGGTGTTGCTGACGTAACAGACATATTCCAGGATAGTGTTCTCTTCAAGTCTGTCACTGCCATACTCTGGTGCCCAACTCTTTAAAGTAGCATAGGAGGTGAGGTGAAATTGGGTTTTACGTCGTGCTTGAGAATATTTCGCTCATATGACGACATGCGTGCGTGTGTATGTATATGTGAGGCTGCTTGTACTAGCCCAGACTGAAGCTGGTTGTATAGTGCTAGCCCACTGAGATACCATGCCGCAGTGAAGCATGAATACCCCACTCAGACACATTATACTGACTCCGAGTCGACCAGTCCTTGTTGTACCCATTAATGCTGAGCGCCAGGCAGGGACCAACAAGTACCATATTTTAACGTCTTTTGGTATGAAGCGGTCGGGGATCAAACCAGCAACCTTCCGCTCTCCGGGCAGACGCTCTTATCACTACACCACGGAGGCGGTCAAAGTAGCATAGGAAGGTGTATCCTAAATTTGTGTTGGATGGCTTTTGGTGCTGAGCCCTTTTTAGCAAATACTTCATCACTTACAACTCCTCAAGTCTGTCCATTTTTCAAAGGTGAACAGCCTTGCTTATTCTACTGATTTGTCATAGCAAATCAATTTGCTCAACTGTGACATTGTTTATGAATATAACTCATTGAAATCATAAGATGTCTACAAGAAAAGATTTCACTCAACCCTCCAGTATACGGATCATATCATATCATGAAGTCCACCTAGACACACCTGTTGTAGCTGCACATGATGCTGAGAGAGCCTGCTTTCACACAGGCTCGGAATGCTGGCAGAAACGTTGTACGTAGGTCTCTCTCGGACACCTGTATGGAAACAAACAAAACGCTAAAACAGGAAAACTTTCCATTATCATTGGTTGAGTGGAACTAGGAGTGGAATGGAGTGTGGAATGAGGAGTGGAGTGGAGTGGAGTAAGGAGCGCAGAGCTTAGCGGGGAGTGCAGTGGAATGGAGTGGAGTGCAGTGGGTAGTAGAGACTTTTAAATGAACCTTGGAAATGAAAGCAATCCTGCTACAAGTTTTATGATATGAATTTTTCAAAACAATACCACTTATTCTGTTGGTTTATTGAATAACTTAAGGAAACAAATACTAAATTACATCTCAACAACACCTGGTCAATGAACGTGGAACATGAACATATATGTAACCATTTGGAGGCTCAATGGAGCTGGTATGTATTGTCCTTATAGTCTCTATAACACTTTCAATTAACACTCAAATACTGTATATTCTATTCTGTTCGAAATATGTTCTTCTGTGAAGCACAAATGCCCTCCAAAAGGCATACCTAACCATCTTCACCATGTCCAGTGTCGCACCTGAGACAAGTCTCCCTGTAGGTAAAGACTACTTACAACTGCATCAAAAGTCATTCTGGAGGATGGGATGTTCTCTGGACCATCATAGGCAGCGAAGTGTTTACATCCCGCACTGGCTCGGATATAGCGGCGGTCAGTTCCCTGCAAACCGTTCACGAAACTCACAGCCAGCTCACCTGACAGATGTGGGTCCTCTCCATACGTCTCCTGTCAGAATCATATGTAACATGACAAATGACAAATTTCAGGTCAACCACACACACAAATACGTGTCGAGTATCAAATCTACATCTGATCTAGTTCCACTTACTTTGTACATAAATTTTAGGGGGTGTCATTCACATTGTACATTCTCCTCCATAAAAATCATCATCACCCCCTAGCCATAAATTATGAACAGTCCCTAAGTTTGGCAGGATGACACATTTCCTACCACCATTGTATGAGTATGAGTGTGGTGCTAGAAGCTGGGATTATTAATGAAGCAAGTCTTGAGAAATTGCGGCATGTTGGAAGACTGGCTCAACACTCAGAGCATCTGTCCAACATGACAGTGTCAGTTCTACACAATACTGTGGTCTATAATTAACGAGCTGGGCTCCGTTCCACGAAGCGATCATAGTGTTGCGACAGTCATAACTCTACGTAACGTATGTGAGTTACGATCACCTTAGCACTACGATCGTTTTATGGAACGGGCCACTGGTTCATAAAAGTGACCTATGTAGAAAACAAATTAAAAAGAAAAACTTTTGACAAATATTGGTTGAGTCCAGTTTCATATTTTTCATATTTTAGTGTATGTGTTGTCTCATAAACAAAACCACAACACATTAAATATGACTTCTCTGAAACGACTGTAAACACATAATTTAAAACTACCATTTTTCTTGAGTTTTACTGCAAATATTGATGGGTGTTCATGAATATGCTGAAGTCTGCTGAAGGTGGTATCAATTCATCAACTACCAGCACTAATCACAATCTCCTTCCAAGTTAAAATGTTATTTTTCAAGAACTAATGAAAAACATTATAGCTGAATCAATATGTGGGCATCTGGCATCGCACGTAAATTTGTTCTACATCAGCACATCTGTGCCTCATGACATCCCAATGCCTTTGATGACAATATTACTGTACTCAAGAGTTTGCCAAGGGGCATTTTAACACCAAACATAATACTATATATTTTACAAAATAAACTAGCAGATTAACACACTAAATATTATTTTTCACAAACAAATTTGAACATTTAAAACATGACTGTGTATTTGATTCCACACTCTGTCAGCAATAGTGACAGACAACCTTCTTCTACTTTGAAAACACACTGTTTATTTGCATTCTACTGTGACAAAATTGACTGCTTTTGCCCATTGAGACGAAACATATGTCACTGTACCTGGTTTCGTCCCCATCTTGGGTCCCGCATTATGTTGATGACGGGGCTGAAGCAACTGAGACCACGGTGGTCTCCATACTGCTTGTTGACCGTGTAGTAGCGGAACTTCCCTCGCACCTCCACACTTGTTGCCTCAGCGATGTCATACACCAACTGACGACTTCAAATATATATTCAACATTTTAAAACAAAACATAAAAGTGTTTCCAGTAAAATTAAACTCCTCTAAAAAGAGACATGGCAACAGTTGTAACTATCATAAGCTCCCTCTCTCTATCTTCAAAGACACTGCCAGCCAATACTCCCCCCCCCATTAACTGCCCCCACCCCACACCCTACAAGCTCCCACCCAAACCCACACTCTCTTTTACCTGAGCAAAACACTCAGCCCTTTCTACTGGTACATTTAGTTTATTTAAGAGTAAATCATAAAGGCCACCGGCCCATATTACAAATCATATAACACAATCATACACCATACCCTTTACACCAGAAAGGGGCGGAGGGGTAGCAGTGTGGTTAAAGCGTTCAAGCGTTCGCTTGTCACGCTGAAGGCCTGGGTCCCCCCCTGCATGGGTAACTTGTGTTAAGCCCAATTTCTACTGTCCCCACTCTGAGATATTGGTGGAATATTGCTAAAAGCAGCAAAAACACAACTCACTCACTCACTTCTCGCCTGAAACAGCAACTAAGCCATTCTCCTTCACTCTCTCACCTGAACGAGGCAGCCAGGCCAATGGCTTGTGGGAAGCTGGTTGCGTTCCCCGCCTGCACGTCCCCCCTCAGGCACTCAGTGTTCCAAGAGTAGGGCCCGATACCCAGACGGGGAATAGCTGGGGCAGGGCCTCCGAACGAACCTGCATACATCATGAAGACTTTCAGAATTGGAAGGTACTGAATCAAGACGTTTTGTAAATGGATTTGGGCTATGTTGTATGTGAATACCAGATATAAACATTAGTGTTGGGAATTGGTTGAAATCTCACAATTGATGATTGCTTCATTACCAACGAACAATCATCGAAAAAAATTGGTTAGAGTCATTTTTCAGATTTTCCTCTCTCCTCTCCTGGTTGTTATTGCTGATATGTATAACATGATGCACCTTGCTACTTTAAAGTCATGACTAATATATCATGAACATAAACTTCCTGGAGTCTTAGAGAAATATTCAGTCATGACTTTTCAGTTAGTGAAGTGAGTTTTCTAAGAATTAAACACGTTTTCAGGCCCTGACAACTCCAACGATATGTTTCATTGTCAAGTATTTGAAAGATTAAAACAGTAGTTCCAAAATCGTTTATGTTCGATTATGAGAAAATGTGATCGATTGCTTGGTCGTTTGGTCAATGCGACCAATCTTCAATTATTTCAATTAATCGGAACACCACTAATAACCATGTCTAAATGCAAACCTTGGGGAACAGTGCCCTTTACTGAGAAATAACACTTAAATTATCTACATCTTCACTACTTTGGTTTCCTTGTTGTTTCACACCACATCCGGCAATACTAATATTAATACTAATACTAAACCTTTTAGGAATTTGTTTGTATCTGTTATCTTTGTTAAATGAACAAACGAGTTGGTGTATGAGTGAAAGAGTGTGAACATTTTTCAAACTCTGAACTGTAAAATACTTGACTTCAAGTAACTGAAACATGTTTTAATTGTCTGACAAATAACACCATTTATTAACAACTATGAACGATGTCTAAGCTTTGTTAAGAAAGAGAACAAAGATCAGATAAAATTTAGAAAGCAGACTTTCTTTCAGATATTCTGTATTCTGATATAACTTACATTGAATTGTTTGTGAAAGAATTGGTGACGAAACACAACTTCCCAAGGGGAAACTTCAGTTTCAAATATATCTATATTAGATCAAGGTATACTGAATATATGTTTCACTGTACTTTCTAAAGCATTAAATGCTGAAATTTTATTAGATCAACAGCTCCTTAGTGTGTGTGAATGTAACACAAGTTCAGCTGTATATGAAATAAAGTTTCAGTCATTTCATCTATCATATCTGTTCTGTTATTAGAAATTGTAAAGTATTATCGTATCACCACCATTGTATTGTGATCATAATCGTCTCGCAGGTTCCTTGCCAATACTTTCATGATATATCGTCTCACTTCATTAAACTGGTATTGTGATACATCGTCTCGCCACTTAGGCCACGGTACTCAGTTTTATTGAACACAGATTACAGAAAATACTAGGTGCTTTTCAAATTGGAAATACACAATAGTAAGTGAAATATTTTCAAAGTCGGCTGTCAAAAATCTTCACGGCAATATTTTGAGTTGAAGAAAGTTTCACTGCATAATTAATATTTTAAAAAGGCCTCTTAATTATTTGTTTGTTTGTTGCCTAGCTTTACACAATATTCCAGCTATATAACAGTAGTCTGTAAATAATGGACTCCTGACCAGACAATCCAGTGACTGACATCATGAGCATCAATCTACACATTTGGGAAATGATGACCTTCCTGAACCAAGACGCCATATTATCTGACCACCCAATCTGACCACGTATTACAACAAGCATGAAGGTCAGGGTTGGAATTGGACATCAGCAACTTGTGCTTGTTCTAACAGGCTACTAACGGAATCGGGTGGTCAGACTCGCTGACTTGGTTGACACATGTCATCATATTCCACCTGCATAGTTCATTGCTCATGTCAATCACTAGATTTGATTATTTACAGACCATCATCATGTAACTTGAATATTGCTGAGTGCTGCATTAAACAATAAACAAAAAAACAACAAGATGTACTATGCACTGGTTGCTGAACGGAAGTTCCAACCCGTAACTTCATGGGCAAATGCATCTTAACAACATTAAAAATACTCAGTATCTATTTCCATTCTGCGTTACAGCCGACAGCACATACAATATCTAGAACAAATTACACTATCTTTTACACGTGAGCATGGTTAATGAGTGACAACATATTATATATTTCCCACATTCATGTATTGTTTCCATACATTTCATTCACATCTTATCTCCAATAAACAAACATATGAATATCATACATGAAGTGTTAAGTTTGATATTGGTCAATATAAATATTGATGTTCTACATTTGAAAATAGTCGATTTTACGTCATCTGGGAACAAAGACAATAAGGCTGATGTTCGAGGCAGGCTCGCATTAATCTAAGGTATGGGACGTGTAGGAGAAATGTATAGGGGTTGGCTTGGTGTGATTGTGTACAAGGTCAACAATGGTATGAAGGTTTGGGTTGACAATGGTATGAAGGTTTGGGTTGACAATGGTATGGATGTCTGGGTTGACAATGGTATGAAGGTCTGGGTTGACAATGGTATGAAGGTCTGGGTTGACAATGGTATGAAGGTCTGGGTTGACAATGGTATGGAGGTCTGGGTTGACAATGGTATGGATGTCTGGGTTGACAATGGTATTGATGTCTGGGTTGACAATGGTATGTATCTGGTTGACAATGGTATGGATGTCTGGGTTGACAATGGTATGGATGTCTGGGTTGACAATGGTATGGATGTCTGGGTTGACAATGGTATGGAGGTCTGGGTTGACAATGGTATGGATGTCTGGGTTGACAATGGTATGGATGTCTGGGTTGACAATGGTATGGAGGTCTGGGTTGACAATGGTATGGATGTCTTGGGGTTGACAATGGTATGGATGTCTTGGTTGACAATGGTATGGATGTCTGGGTTGACAATGGTATGGATGTCTGGGTTGACAATGGTATGGATGTCTGGGTTGACAATGGTATGGATGTCTGGGTTGACAATGGTATGGATGTCTGGGTTGACAATGGTATGGAGGTCTGGGTTGACAATGGTATGGATGTCCAAGGGTTGACAATGGTATGGATGTCTGGGTTGACAATGGTATGGATGTCTGGGTTGACAATGGTATGGATGTCTGGGTTGACAATGGTATGGATGTCTGGGTTGACAATGGTATGGATGTCTGGGTTGACAATGGTATGGATGTCTGGGTTGACAATGGTATGGATGTCTGGGTTGACAATGGTATGGATGTCTGATTGACAATGGTATGGATGTCTGGGTTGACAATGGTATGGATGTCTGGGTTGACAATGGTATGGATGTCTGGGTTGACAATGGTATGGATGTCTGGGTTGACAATGGTATGGATGTCTGGGTTGACAATGGTATGGAGGTCTGGACAATGGTACAATGGACAATGGATGGATGTCAATGGTATGGATGAATGTTGATGTCTGGTATGGACAATGGTAATGGTTGACAATGGTATGGATGTCTGGGTTGACAATGGTATGGATGTCTGGGTTGACAATGGTATGGAGGTCTGGGTTGACAATGGTATGGAGGTCTGGGTTGACAATGGTATGGATGTCTGGGTTGACAATGGTATGGTCTGGGTTGACAATGGTCTGGAGGTCTGACAATGGTATGGATGTCTGGGTTGACAATGGTATGGAGGTCTGGGTTGACAATGGTATGGAGGTCTGGGTTGACAATGGTATGGAGGTCTGGGTTGACAATGGTATGGATGTCTGGGTTGACAATGGTATGGATGTCTGGGTTGACAATGGTATGGAGGTCTGGGTTGACAATGGTATGGAGGTCTGGGTTGACAATGGTATGGAGGTCTGGGTTGACAATGGTATGGATGTCTGGGTTGACAATGGTATGGAGGTCTGGGACAATGTCTGGGTTGACAAATGGTATGGATGTCTGGGTTGACAATGGTATGGAGGTCTGGGTTGACAATGGAATGGAGGTTTGGGTTGACAATGGTATGGAGATTGACAATGGTATGGAGGTCTTGGTTGACAATGGTATGGATGTCTGGGTTGACAATGGTATGGATGTCTGGGTTGACAATGGTATGGAGGTCTGGGTTGACAATGGTATGGAGGTCTGGGTTGACAATGGTATGGAGGTCTTGGTTGACAATGGTATGGAGGTCTGGGTTGACAATGGTATGGAGGTCACAATGACAATGGTATGGATGTCTGGTTGACAATGGTATGGAGGTCTGGGTTGACAATGGTATGGAGGTCTGGGTTGACAATGGTATGGAGGTCTGGGTTGACAATGGTATGGATGTCAGGTCTGGGTTCAGGGTTGACAATGGTATGGAGGTCTGGGTTGACAATGGTATGGAGGTCAGGGTTGACAATGGTATGGATGTCTGGGTTGACAATGGTATGGAGGTCTGGGTTGACAATGGTATGGAGGTCTGGGTTGACAATGGTATGGAGGTCTGGGTTGACAATGGTATGGAGGTCTGGGTTGACAATGGTATGGAGGTCTGGGTTGACAATGGTATGGAGGTCTGGGTTGACAATGGTATGGAAGTCTGGGTTGACAATGGTATGGAGGTCTGGGTTGACAATGGTATGGAGGTCTGGGTTGACAATGGTATGGAGGTCTGGGTTGACAATGGTATGGAGGTCTGGTTTTGGTTGACAATGGTATGGAGGTTTTGGTTGATTTATTTAAACATATTTTATTCACAAATGTGAAAGGAATTGGGGACAAGTTATCCAACTTAAAATACCCGCTCCCTAATATTTACATACATACAATTCCAATTATATACATCTCAGGAGAGAAGACAGAGAAGAGATAGGAAAGTTAAAGAGAGAAGAGAGGAAGGGACACGACTTGTGTGATCACTCAAAACGTTTTGAGTAATGAATTAAAATTTGCACACATTTGAAAACGTATTCATTCTGTTGAATAGTCATATCAGGACTTCCAAGTAACATTAATGACAATGTCATTGGAGAGTCATGTTTTACAATATTTTTTAAATTTAACATTAATATCTCTCTTTGAATGTTGTACAGTTTACATTCTAATTGGAAGTGATGTTGAAACGATACAGATCATAATTTAGCTGACTAGTCATATGTCTCAACTTTGTGTGTATAATATTCAATTTTCTAATACCAAACGAGTAATATGATGTAGCTACAGGTTGCTCACATTTTAAATACAACTTGAAACTTTGTAATGAAGGTCGATTTCTTTCGGTTTCAGAAATATTATTCCATATTCTTACAGTTGATGGAAAAAGGGAATCATACGAAAGTCTTAACCTTGCAGAAGGAAGGATAATATTGTTAGCATTCCTAAGGTTATAATTAGATCTGAATCCCACACTATCTGGAGTAATATCTTTTAAGTATACAGGAGTTAAAATATTTTGAATTTTTATTAAATTGACATAGTCTTATTCTTTTTCTTCGTTCATCCAGTCTTTCCAATCCTGTCTCATAATATAGAATTTCCCGTGAGGTATATCTAGGAAGACTCGTAACTATTCTGGCAGCTTCTAACTGAAGTTTCCCTTCTGTTGTACGGTACAACCATCCCATAATTCACAAGCATATTCAAAGTGTGGTCTGATAAATATCTTATAAATACTGTTGATTGTATTTCTGTTTAGTAAATATTTCAATTTTCGCATTGATGATATCATTTTGGAGCATGACTTGATGATTTGATTAGTGTGATTCCGAGATGTTTATGATTGTTTACCAAATTGATTTGCTTTTCGTCAAAAAATCATTTCAATTCTTCAGTTTCATCAATCATGGAAAACAACATGTTTTTTTCAGGATTATATGAGACCATCCAGTTTTTACTCCAGCTATATAATATGTCTAAAGAAGTTTTGATTTCTTTAGTACTTTTCGATGATTTTTCAAGCGAAGTGTCATCAGCAAAAAGACTTGTTACACAATCCTTATCAGCAATATCGTTAACATAGACCACGAATAAAATGGGTCCCAATACTGAACTCTGAGGGACGCCAGCTGTTAAATACCTGGGCTTGGATATAGCTCCGTTTACAAAGACGTGTTGACTGCAATCACTTATGTATCTCTATATCAATTGTAACAGCTGGCCTCTAATACCGTACTTCTCTAATATAAGTATAAGCGCTTTATGCCACGCACGATCAAAAGCTTTGGATACATTGCAAAATATCATACAATATTTTTCTTTGCTGTCGAGAGATGTACAAATATGATGGTAAAGTTCAATTTATTGATGGACAGTTGAATGACCTGCTTGAAACCCCGATAGGTACTTATGTAAAAGTTTGTTAACATGGAAATAGTTATACAAGTGTTTATACACAACTCTTTCAAATAGTTTTCCTATGCAACTTATAAGAGAAACAGGTCTACAGGTTTTACATTACGCATGATTCCTGCGTATTTGACGCAACAATTTTGTAAACGACTCTCAAAATATTATCATACGAGTCAAGCTTGACGCAAGTTTTATGGGTGGCCCTCACAATTCAGTTCAATAAAATCAATTTGATAAGCACAAAATGATATTGTTCGATGATAGTTTGACTTTTACAGAGCAGTCAGATTGCTCCAGAGAACTCAGAGGAGACAGTAATCCTGGCTGTGTGAACTGAACTATGCTGTAGTTTCATTTGGTGGCGTGACATACACAGTTACATACTGAGAATGATTAACACAAAGAAATATCAAAATTTTCATGACTCCCAAACATTGAAAATGACTCCCAAAAATGAATATTGTGAGTCACCATGACTCCCTTTCTTATTAAAGTCTGTGTAAAACCCTGGGTCTATACTTGGAAACAATAGAGTGATCACCTTTCTTATACAGTGGCATGACATATACACTTTTCCACATATCTGGATACACACTATGTTTTTATGATATAAATTAAACAGTAAACACAGGGGCTCAGATATAGATTCAACAGTGATCTTTAATAATTTATGACTTATTCTATCCGGCCCTGAAGCTTTGTTTAGCTGCAAACATTTTATAACATCAGATATTTCCTTCTTAGAAATTACTATTTTTTCTAACTGCATGTTGGTCCTTTAGGGAGAATGTGGTAATGGTACATCTTTATCATTCAATCGAGATATTGATTCGAGATATGTATTAAGTTTTTCAGCTTTTTCTAAATCAGAAAACAGAGTTGGAAATTCATCATCAACATTCTGCTAGAGAGGAGGAATATGCAAAGTAGAGCCCGAGTGTTTAACAATATATCGCAATAATTTCCAATATGAAGATTTATTTTCAGCATATAATTCCAAAAGTAGGCCATTAATATAAGAATAAAAGTTTTCTTTCACATAACATTTCATGTTGTTTACTCTATTTCTCTGATGTTTATAAGCTTTTTTAGTAATGAGTTGACAGTGACAAGTGGTATGGAGATTAAGTGTTGACAATGGTATGGAGGTCAGGGTTGACAATGGTATGAATTGAAATGGTTGAGGATGTGGCAGAAATGAGTTGACAGTGACAAGTGGTATGAGGATTGTGTTGACAATGGTATAGAGGTTTTGGTTGACAATGGTATAGAGGTTTTGGTTGACAATGGTATGAATTGAAATGGTTGAGGATGTGGCAGTAATGAGTTAACAGTGACAAGTGGTATGAGGATTAAGTGTTGACAATGGTATAGAGGTTTTGGTTGACAATGGTATAGAGGTTTTGGCTGACAATGGTATAGAGGTTTTAGTTGACAATGGTATAGAGGTTTTGGTTGACAATGGTATGAATTGAAAATGGTTGAAGATGTGGCAGAAATGAGTTGACAATGGTATGGGTGTGTGGGTTGAAAATGGTTGAAGATGTGGAGATGATTTGTTTGCAGTGATATGGGTGTATGGGTTGAAAATGGCATGAACTAATGGCCTAAAACCTGTGAGGATATTTGTTGATAAACATTGGTGTATTTGACCACAGTTCTTGCAATGGAAAAAACCCCGAGAATCATGGTTTATACTGTTACTGACAGGGTCTTAACACTGTACAAAAGTCAGTGACAGTACATACCTGTATGCCTGTATTTTTCCACTTACAAACCCCTGTGTATTTGACAATGGTAGTACCCCTGAAGATACGAGTTAGAAGACATGGTTGTCATAAGAGACAACGAACGGGATCCGGTGGTCAGGCTTGCTGACTTAGTTGACACATGTCATTATATCCCAGTTGTGCAGATTGATGCTCATGTTGTTGATCACTGGATTGCCTGGTCCAGACTCGATTATTTACAGACCGCCACCACATAGTCGGAATATTGTTAAACAACAAACAAACAAACAAGACATTGGTAGTGGTTGATGCATTAAATGTCTCAATATAACTTTGATAGAAACAAATAAGTCATCTTAAACTGAAAAGGATCTGTTGATTATTCAAAACCTGATGAAATCTAGACTTGACTCATTTTGGACTTAAGCAGGGAAGGGCAAAATAATGAGGTTTACGGACTGTGAGACAGTCGTGGTTCGACAGATAAGAACTGTCAAACTTTATCCCATATAAGCGTAGCTAAGATACATATAGCGTTCACTGACATGTGAGTGAACGCTATGTATCTTAGCTAATATAAGCGCTGACATTGTTGACAGTGGTATGAATGACTAAAGGTGGACATATTGGACTGGACCCAAAATGACAAACTACTGGATGAATGACATGACGATAAATCTATTAGCCTAATTACTAAGACTTTACCTACCCGCCCCTCCTCTCGCCATTTGTTCCTGAATTTCCTCAATAGTCAGCCGACCCACTAGATCATCAACGCGGGCTTCCCAGGACAGACTAGGGTCTTGAAACGGGTAGTCATAGCCAAATACAGGACAACTGACGACTGTCATTAACAGAACTATCCCAGAAACACCGCGGACCAGCATATCGAGACACATTATTGTTGTACTCCGCGCCATGTTTCAGTCATGTGGTTGATCATGTGACTGTCAGTCCAGATGGCGTTTAAGATTAGTTATTCCCTGTGATAAAATAAACAAACAAAAAGGAGCCCAAGTTACACGTCCACATTGATTTGTGGCTCGTGCACCTGTCGCTGTCACATTATGTAATTACACAGACAGACAGGTGTGATACTTGTACACATGACATGTTATATGATGTCTGTTGATTTCAAAATGTTATACACAAATAATGAGCATGTATTTACAAAACCCAACATCTTTATACACACATAAAGAGCCCTGAGCAAATGAACCAGCCAGTGAAAGACTTTGTTACACTTATGTGCACGTCCACCCGCTATGACTGGGTCCGGTATCCCCTGTGCTTCGTTTCGAGGGGGGATGGCCTAAAAGTCGGGCGGGCCAAATCTATTATTGGCTAATAAACCCATTAACGAAAACCATGCCTACAACTAATCAATGCAACATACACTCATGATAATAATGATCAATCGGAAGCCTCAAACGCGTACCATAATAACTTTATTACGAGTAAATCGGCTAAAATCCAGGAAGACGAGAAGCCTGCGAACTGGCTGACCGAGGTTACGTCTAAAAGTGGAATCGTTAAACGAAACGCGATTTAATACGTTTAAATACTTCAGCCAATCCCGATACACATTTCCGTTGGCCCGAAAATGTTTTTTACATCTATATCAAATCACATACCACCCCATCAATTCACTATTCATCGTATTTAAAGCATGCCCACATTGAAATGATACGATCTCTTCCCCACACTCGCAACATTATCTCGGCCACAATTTTCCGCCCGGCTTGGCTCGAGCCGTCAAAAGCAACTTAAACGTAACACACGTATCTTGTGTTAAATTCCATAGACTGGTATTATATCTACCTAAATATCGCTTTGTAATGTTATAAAATGCAACATGTAAAGAAAACTGCTCCATTAAAGTGAAGCCCTTGTCTCTCATTTTTCAACATAACCTCAATCAAAAGTGTTTAGTCTCTGTTCAGCCCGACTTTGTCCGGGCTGTCAAAAACAACCTAGACCTCACAGATGTATCTTGAAATGTGTTTAAATCCATAGATTGGTATTGTATCTACCTAAATATCACTTTGTAATGTTATCAAATGCAACATGTAAAGATAACTGGTTCGTTAAAGTTAGCCCTTTTCTCTCTCCATTCTCAACATAGCCTCAATCAAAAGTGTTTAGTCTCTGTTCAGCCCGGCTTGGCCCGTGCTGTCAAAAACACCTTAAACCTCACACATGTATCTTGAAATGTGTTTATGTCCATAGATTAGTGTTATATCTACCTACATATCACTTCACAGAGTCTCAAAGCGTAGTATTTGAAGCAAGCACCTTGCTCAAAGTGAAGCCCTATTTTCTATACATTCTCAACAAAAACACAGTATCACAAGCTTTCGGTCCGGCTTGGTCCGGGCTCTCAAACGCACCTTATACCTCACAGATGTATCTTGAAATTGTTTAAATCCATAGATTGGTATTATATCTACCTAAATATCACTTTGTAATGTTATCAAATGCAACATGTAAAGATAACTGGTTCGTTAAAGTTAGCCCTTTTCTCTCTCCATTCTCAACATAGCCTCAATCAAAAGTGTTTAATCTCTGTTCAGCCCGACCTAGCCCGTGCTGTCAAAAACACCTTAAACCTCACACATGTATCCTGATTTCTGTCTATATCTCTAGAATAGAGTTATATCTACCTAAGTACGTCTTTATAGAGTCTCAAAGCGTAGTATTTGAAGCAAACACCTTGCTCAAAGTGAAGCCCTATTTTCTATACATTCTCAACAACCACACAGTATCACAGTCATGCTTTCGGTCCGGCTTGGCCCGGGCTCTCAAAAACAACTTAAACCCCACACATCTGTCTTGATTTGTGTTTAATTCCATAGATTGGTATTATATCTACCTAACTATCGCTGTGTGATGTTACAAATGCAACATGTAAAGATAACTGGTTCGTTAAAGTTAGCCCTTTTCTCTCTCCATTCTCAACATAGCCTCAATCAAAAGTGTTTAGTCTCTGTTCAGCCCGGCTTGGCCCGTGCTGTCAAAACCACCTTAAACCTCACACATGTATCTTGAAATGTGTTTATGTCCATAGATTAGTATTATGTCTACCTAAAAACGTCTTGATAGAGTCTCAAAGCGTTGTATTTGAAGCAAACACCTTGCTTAAAGTGAAGTCCTATTTTCTATACATTCTCAACAAAGACACAGTATCACAAGCTTTCGGTCCGGCTTGGCCCGCGCTCTCAAACGCACCTTAAACCTCAGAGATGTATCTTGAAATGTGTTTAAAGCAATAGATCAACTGGTATTAAAAGCATTTGACTCTGTTCAGAGACATTTGTTGTGGTCAAAGATGACACGCCGCTTTATGATAAATGGATATTTTCTGTGTGCCATACAGTCACTCTATCAAGATGTGCAATGTTGTGTAAAAATTAACACTGAAAAAAACTGAATGGTTTAATGTGACCATTGGAGTAAAACAAGGATGTGTTCTTTCTCCTACACTCTACCCTATGTATATTGATTTAAAGGTCACATGCAACCAAAAAATCAAACATAATTAAAACACAATTATCACTTCTTCATGACATATAATATGCATTGCTGATTATGAAAAAACAAAATTATAAGCGTATAATCGCAAATCAAAAGTGCAATATTTTGTACTTGGGTTTACCTCCCTCGAAACGAAGCAGCCGGGATACCGAACCCAGTCAGAGCGGGTGGGTGTGCACTCTAGTGTAACGGCTGGGTCATTAGCAGATGCCGCCTTCACGGCTCATTGTGTGTGTATATATAGAAAGTTGGGTTTTGTAAATACATGCTCATTTTTTGTGTCTAACATTTTGCAATCAACAGACATCATAACATGTCATGTGTTCAAGTATCACACCTGCCTGTCAGTGTAATTACATAATGTGACAGAGACCGAACTCGGACCATAAATCAATGCGTTTTGTTTATGGTGTATAGCCTGATTGGTGTTAAGTTCAAATTGCATGTGGTCAGTGATCGCAGTTGTGTATTGAATATTGTCATTAGCAGACAGGCAGGCAGACACACAGGTGTCAATAAAACAAGACATTGAGTTTTGTCTGTGACAGCGACATATCTATATCACAGTTAGAAATTGTGTCAACTCTAAATAATGACATTGCTTTTAAGTATCGAACTGAGAAAGTTACTCGGTAAGAAGAACGTGTGGTGAAATAGACAAATGAAATTATATAAACAGTTTATTTACTGTCATAACATACAAAAAGCTCGCGCCTGTGAGATATCAACAAAACATTATGGAAATAGCTCACACCAAAGCCTTCACCGAGTATTCACCAGACAGCCCGCTTCCAAGTTGCGCGAACCTATTTCACTGCGCACGTGCTATGAGCGCAGCCCAGCTGTTGAAACCCGTATTCCCCAGAAAAGTCTGGGGAAAATTAGTGAAACGTTTGAACTCCGATTTTGCGCGGTTTTTTTCATCGCGTTATTTTTCAACTTTATAAGTTGAATTTGCATTTTTGACGCTTTGTTTCGGTAAGTCCATACCGAAAGGTATCAGAATCTGCAAAGTTATCCATATTACTCTATGCACATGACATTGTGTTGATAGCTCCAGATGCTACTAAGTTACAACAACTTCTACACTGTCTCTACAATTGGTCATCTCAGTGGGGATTATCCACAAACAAGGACAAAACCAAGATAATGCATTGCAGACCAGTGTCTATTCCTCGCTCAACTAATAGATTCACCTGTGGTGACATGGATATAGATTACTGTTCTGAATATAAGTATCTAGGTATGCGGCTCGATGAGCATTGTGACTATAAAAAATCTTTGAGGGAAGTGTGCAAATCTGCCAACAGGGCCCTGGGTGTAATAATGTGAAAATTCAATTTCCTTGGAGGTTTTAGCCATGATGTTTTCATAAAGTTGTATGACAACTATGTGCAACCAGTCATAAATTACAGTGCCAGTGTTTGGGGAATAAATCAACACAAAGAACTTGGGAAACTTCAGAATAAAGCTGCAAGACTGTTCCTTGGTGTGAGGAAAAATTCTTCCTCAGTAGCGGTGAGAGGTTATTTAGGTTGGAAGTGAACCGCTATTTTCACAAACTATGTACTGCGGAACCAAACTCGCTTTGTAGAATTTTACATAATTGGTCTGTTCGAAAAAACTCATCATGGGACTACAGAACACTAGAGTTTATAAAAAAGCTTGAACTTCATGTTTTAGCGATATATATGATTACTGTGCAAAGTTAACCAGAACAGAACTGTTATATAAAGCCCTAGAAGTACTTGATTCAAGAGACAGAGCTAAGTGGTATCAGGATTTATTTAAAGATCAAAACCAGCCAAATGGCAACAAATTAAGAACTTACAGACTGTATAAACAAGACATTAACACTACACAAGATTATCTATCACAAGACAACAGAGAAGCTTGATGGCATCGCTGCGCTGTGGAAGCCTACCTCTAAACCTAGAAAAAGGACGCTATACCAAGCCTGTCACCCCAATCCATGAGAGATTATGCACAATGTGTGCTACAAATTCCGTTGAAGATGAGGTACATTTTGTGATATTATGTGCCCATTATGAAGATATCCGTGAAAAACTGTTTTATAAGTGTATGCAGATTTATGATAATTTTCTTAATCTTCCACCACAAGAAAAATTCTGCTGGCTGATGGAAACAGACCATATCCAATATGACTTTTGTAAATCTCTGCAATTCATGTATTATAGGAGGTTATTGCAAGACTAGCTTTGATCTATATACCACTATAATCTATGTAACTTGTATGTGAATGAATGTATTGTGAATGAGTGATTCTTTTATGTATATTTGAATGTATTTTATTCCTTCTGTGATTTGTTGTATATTACCAACTGTCTCTTAAACAGGTGGTAAATACTGTACGAGAGATGAGAAAGTTGATATTAATAATATAGCTCCCTTTAATA